ACATCTTGCAGCACCACATCACCTAAAAATGTGGCACATAGGCCTTACTGATTTCAGTAACTTATTATAATAGCATCCCGTCTTGTACTGAACTGACACTTGCAACTAACTTGTATGTACCATCAGCCGATAGGTATGAATATAAATAAATAGTCTATGGCAAATCAGAACATTGAGTCTAGAGCATATCTCTAACGTATACACTCATGCTCAACGAATTGCTCTTATCTATCTGTCCAAAATCCACATAATTATTACTTTTCACGTATTTAAAATTTTTTGATAACAATTCATATGTATTAGTAGTATTACTAAATTCTATCACGGTCAAGTAAAAATGAGGTCGAAAAAATCTCCCCATATCTAAATAAACCGTATCAAACTAACTGGAACACTAGTTGGAATTCTTCTCCGCGCTTATACTTTTGTTCTTTCAGTTAGCCTACTAATACAGATGCAATTGGAAATCAATGCATGGACAACTTACCGGCACATACGTTATTCGATTTCATAATTTCGACCAAATATAATACCAGTTTTAACATTTCTACAATATTGATTGTTTTTGATATTTCTAAACAGGAAATGTTATTAACCTACGGCTATTACTAACTATCTTACAGCGACTTATTAAAATATCCCTATACGGAGTCATTTCATTATGACTATAATCCCGCTTTGTTTAGCTCAAATAATCTCCGCCCAAATTTTCATTTTAAGCGTGTTAAGCATTAAACGAGACACTTTAAAATTATTACGTGTGTTTCCCGACCAGATGCTGCCGCCTTCTTATTGATTTATCTTTCAGTTCATCAATACCCGGACGATTCTTATTATTCTTGCTAACCTCCGGAGCGCGACAATCCCGCACAACTTGGTATCGAACCAACGTCACGTTGGTTCTGGTGGGAGAGTAGTGTAGTGGCATTGGGCCCTACCACGAGACAATATGAGAAATAGACATTAAACATTTAACGCGGAGAAACACAGAAGAATGGAGAAGGCGGGAATAATAAATTGATTTAGTCCGAGTTGATCGGATGGCATGGCTCGGCTTTGCAGGCGTGGTCCCATCTGAATGTTATCTTGTGTCTTCTATTCATATTAAATATATTCTATCTCTAGCCTAAGCTCGTTCTCTATCACGTATTGGTAATTGTTACAATGCAATGAATCGGTGTAGACGATGATGTAACTTCCACGTAAGATCTTATAGATTAGGCAGTTACATCATGATAAATCTACAATTTTAGGATTAGGTCTATTATTAGAGCAGTGCTAATATCATAATAGACCGTAATTCTATAGACCCTTTGACGTTGATAGCTTTATCTGCCTGCTTTAAGAACATATACAGGAACTGTGTATAACATTATTGTAAGTGCCAAATAATTTAGTCACATATTCTTCTTAGGTAAAACGACGCATGTTCCTTCCGAGCAATGTAACTAAACCATTTATTAGTTACTATTAATTTACGATGTGCCTCTTAGAAGAATTACGAATGAATGAAGAGCATTGTTTACAACAAGTAAGACATTTATTGGTACATTTTATTAACTGTTATTTCATTTACTTATTGAATTCATACGTTTTTTGATACGAAACTTATGGCTTCTGTCAACGAATTGAAAGACTCAAACCTTACTAATAATCATGTCCATACCAGTGAACAACTTAGCTAATTTCTGAATATGAAAAATTATGTGGATAAACGAGTTGGCAATAACTGTGTTCTATGTTGACTACAGCCACATTCGTCCATCTACTGAATTTTTTAAATATAAACATAACAACTATACTCAGTCTTTTGCACTATAAATCCTGTTAGTATGTATAATTGTAGTATGGTTTGATACTAATACTACTTTGATAATAAACCTATTTCGAAAACGGTGAATTTGTCATGCGATTGTCTAATCTGTAAAATCTTTCGTGGACGTCGCATCACTGTCTACACTGACTCATCGTATCGTGACAATTCACAATGATACTTAGTAATTCTGAAAACATATTTGTGCTGGATGTAGAATAATATATTTAATGTGAATATTAATAAGTTACATATAATTGGCACGTCCGCAAGGCTGAACCATAACATCCAATTTAATGAATGTCTCCACGTCAACCACTGTCGACCTTACATGTCGAATATACATCTTTTCGGTCACCGTATACTTGGCTTCCAAGACCATGTGGTTAGAAAGCAATGCCACTACAAGTATCCATCCGAATGCACTGTCACAGTGAGGAAACTCATATATACAACACAAATTTCTGGAGAAGCGTCTAAACTGATGTAGTACTACAAGTTTTCCTATAGAAACATATACTTATAAAGCAAACAGTTGTTTATAGTTTGCACAAACAGTTACTCGTTAATATAATCGGTGTAAAGAACTTCTTATAGTAAGCAATTCCTGTCACGTCTCCACACTGTTGTATTCCGATTCCTATTATATATCGCAAAGAATACTACAGAAAAACAACCGTTAGAGAAACCACAATCTTACCTACTTATCGATGACTCGTAAGCAAATATTTGCTTCCTTGTGTCTGTACATATTGTTTGCTTCGTTTGTAAGGTGAAATTGTTCTTATTATGGAAGATGTGAGTGTAATCTATCTTCCATCGATTGCGATGCCTAAGAATATGATAAACTATACAGTTTGTATTTCGTAATTGATCGAGCTTGCCTGGAAGAGTTTATATTCTTATGTATGGCAGAAGCATATGACGGCAACTACACCGACATGTCCCAATTTATCCATCATTCAGGTTACATCTGCTCGCAATACGTTTTGCCTCCAGGCTAACAGAACAAAAGGCCCTCGACCAAAATTATCGCTAAATTTACCCAAATCAGACAAACATGAGGTTAGGAAGTTACGAAACAACAATCGATCCAACGTGTGCACTACATGACGAAAAGAGCTAAATCAATGTTCTCCGCAATAATTTTGTGGTTTTACTGCAGCAGATCACTTAAATATGAGAACACCTGTCATTCATGCAACCCAGCGGACAGCCAACAAACCCACAGCATTTGAATTACGGAATAACGGCCTCTTGTAATGCCTTTCAAGGTAGTTGAAACGGAATGGCGGGCAGATTTGAAAGGGTCTGGCGTTTTTCCCGTGCCGTCATATTGATCATTAGCCACGGTATTAGATTAGGTCTGTAAATCACCAACGTTGATGATCTGTGTCGGATGATTGGAGACCTAATCGAGATGGATGGGAATGATGTAAACAAGCAGGTAACTTCAAAGAAACACCTTTCGGCTAGTACGTAGCGTAGATTATCACTTCATCGTATCCAAGTACTATGGCTACTTAGATGACCAAGCAACATAAATGACGTTATCAAAGAAATATATTGGTGATAGTAGGTGTAAGGAAAAGAGTGCGACTGCTACTGTTGCATATGCCAGTCCATGGCGTTTAATTAACCGATGTGCGTTGGTTATCGTTGTCCTTGACAAAGATCAGTGAACCTCTTGCTATTTAGTGACCCGAACACCTGATGGTCCGGCTAAGATCCAGTAACATTTCACTGGCTCTATAGGTCTATTCTTCTAGAAGCACATATAAATGTATTAATATATGCTTACACTTATACAGCTCAGGTATTCATGCTTTCTTCCTTTCTCATCTTACTGTCTGCCTGAGCTACTGTATGCCTGAAGTATATCTACATAATAAACTGTGTTGGGCTTTAAATATCTTTAAATATTAACGGGAGACATCGACAGAATACATGCTAAGTAAAAAGGATACATATTCAAAGAACATCATTATAAATCCACCAGTGTGTAATCAGACCATAAGCACTGTGTTATCTTCGCTTCAAACTTATTAATGTTCCAAGAAAGAAACGAAACTAGCAAGGAAATAAAAACAATGAAACGAGGCCACTATACATTTCGATATCACTTGTCTTTCTGTGAAATATTAGTGTGAGTATTCAGATTTCGGTCATAAAATCCCACACATTCAACGCTTAGGATGGTGAAACAAATCTGAAGTCTCTAAGCTATGGCAAGACATTAGGCTGTGACAGTGTTCACACACTTACACTAAAGCAGTGAGAGCGCTACCGGCTAGTCAGTATTTCACCTGTTTAATCTTTCACTACAACCTCAATAGCTGCTGAAATGAGGAAAAAATAAACTACTTCCTCTACTTCCACAGAACATAGAAAGAGCGGGTCCCACTGTAAACAGTTGTTATCTGTTAAAGTTTATAGACAGTTTGACTGTCAACCAAGTAATAGAACACACTGAAAATAATATAATCTTATACGAAACACAAGACGGCTGTCACGTATTCTCCCTGGTAATAGAGTGATTTTCGGGAAAGAGCCCATCAGCTCATCATAAATGACTACAGATTTAAGGCATGAGACCTAAGAGGACCACTTCCTGAGGCCTACGTATTATCGCTTTATTTCAGACTAAATTAAGACGGCATCACCTTGTTTACAAAATATCAAGTAGCCCAGAAAATTTAAGCATAGTTATGTTACAAGAGGATCGGCTAAGTAATTCACGTCATTTACTACAATCCCTTTTCATATATTATCACGCCTTGAATACACATTATCTATGATTTTCATCGAATTTCACTCTTTAATTGTACCATCTTTATGCAATTTTTTCTTATCTCTCTTCATAGCTCGTTATTCTATCATGATCACATCAACTAAAACATTATCTAATCAGAAAAGAAACAAAAGACATAAACTAAAACAATCCATAAGTAAGATAAATGTCAGGTCAACCGGCAAAGAAAACCTATTGAACATCACTGAATATCTATAATCAGTGCCTTAGAACAAGAGCGTGAGAGAAGAGACTGACTAGCTCATACCATTTCAAGGCTCAAACAGAGGATTTCGACCGTTTGGTCTCATCAATGAGACCTTAGGTATGCCCTTGAAAAATTATGGGGCTGATTTGACATTAGGTTTCAGCTGGGATATTGAGTCCTAGTGTGTAATGGAATCGTGGAAAAGACTTACTGACGCTCCAATTTCACGGGTTAACCATCAAGCAATTTGTTTGGAGGATCGTATATTTGTTTTCGGGGGTTTTAATTCTCAAATGTTTGACCTAGACTACAATGAGCGTCAGATAGACACATTTATGTGGGATATTCGTAAGCTCCATTTTTTATTGGTGTGATTTCGGTAGAGAAAAATAGATGGGAGCAGCTCCCTTACCCTCTTTTACTGAAATCGTGGGACTGTACTCTCAAATCTTGGGGACCTGATCCCATCCTAGAAGTAAGTAAAATAACGTATGATTGGATAAGTATTCATATTTTCATTGTAAGTTCAGGCAACCCAACTTTATGACTTGGCAACTGCTCACTCTTGTCACTATATGAACACTTATGTAAGAGGTTCTCCATTTAAGAAACGCTTGATCCCTCCACAAACCGAAGAGATATATTCAATCCCAATAAGTTAATTTTCGGGCGTAAATATTCATATTCTTTAGACTTCTCGTGGGTTATAAAATGCTTGTGCGTTCATAGAAATAGACGTATGTATTTGTTTGCTCCATGTCTTTCGGTTTGATCAATGGGCTGATTTAGGGTGTTTGGACATTCAATTCGAGAGTATAGCACTACATGTATCCAGAAAATTAATCCACACCGTGTTTTTGAGGTTGGCGTTTGGTTGTTTTGATTTGTGTGTAAACTAGATATTCACTTAAGGTTTCAGGCTGAAGTTTCCTCGGTTTTAAGAAACTTAAGTTTAAAATATTTTAAGTATCATTTATACTATGTACGAGTGGGTCACTGAAAATCAATGTTTTGATGTTTAATTATTCAGTCTACACTAGTTATTTAGCATATTGTTCCAACTATTATACAGGAATATAGGATGACGGCACTAGTGCGTACGGTTAGGTTGTTTGTTAGCCGATAAAATCATAGTTTGACTCTCGCGTTTGATTGTTATTCATCATGTCATCATGAAGTTGAACAGTGATAGCGGTAAAAATTAACACTACATTCAAGAGAAGCTCAACCACCGAGTCCCAGGTTTAACTATCTTTCTACACCTACCGCGCTTTGGGCAGTCGGATAGTATCTCCAAACATGGTGGTCTAAAGCCATGTGTATGAACATGTAATCGGTAAATAATCCACATACATCAATTTATGTATAGCGCTCACATAATAATTGAATGTCTCAACATTCTTACATGGATAAACTTTTTAAGTTATGATCAATTAAATGACCGAGATAATTGTCAGAATGGAGATTTGTGGAGATTGTAGTAATTTTAATAGTTGAATTCATGAATTGATCTAAGCTGTTTTATTATTTATTTATTTATTTATTTGAACACATAAATATTAACGGGCCATTAATAGTACGTCTATAAACAAGTTGATTTTCAAAATCTCTCGTAGTAGTTCGTCTACACTTCTTTATCCGTCATTCATATGGCCGGTAATGTTGTTCTTTCCAGCTTTCGTTTAGTGACACATCAAAGTTGATTATTGTGGGGTAGACCGTCTCAGTATATTTTATTAACAGTATAGAATTAATCTTGAGTTAATATACAGATGGATGGTACGGAAATCAAATATAGCTGGTGATTAGTTTTTAGTCGTTCATTTGTAAGTGACCAACACCCTGGGGCGTATATACCTCGTTTGATTATTTATTTATTTATTTATTTATTTATTTGAACACAAATATTGGTACAAGGGGGCACCAAATATATATGCGCCACACAAAACAATGATAATTTGAAGAGGAGAAAAAAAGTAATGAACGTGGGGAATTATATAAAAAAAGGGAGAGAGAGAGAACAATGGTGGGGGAAACGGAAAGGTACAATCAGAAGAGATCTTTCAGTTAAGGAAGATATAAACTTTTTATGAAGAAAGTAAGAGGTTACAGCACGATCGCCACTGGCTTCTATTCTGAGCCATATCTGATAACGTCTCTAGCCACTGCGTTACACCGTCTCTCGGACCCCAACCAGGGAGTCGTGAAGGACCAACAGAAGCTAGCCCTTTGCAGCTTTCTTTCATACCACGACACCATGTCATATACTGACCACCTCTCCGCTTTTTCCAACCAGTCCCAGAGTCGGCAAATAATGCACGACGTGGAATTCTCTGGGACGACATTCGTAGAACATGTCCAAGCCACCGAAGTCGGTGTTTCAAGATGGTGACACCAATTTCATTATCGTCTCTGTGACCGAACACTCGATGCCGAACCTCTGCATTACTAACATGGTGTTGCCACTGGATGTCAGCAATCCTTCGGAGACAACGATGATCGAACACAGAGAGTCGTCTAACATCCTCAACTCGGAGAGGCCAGGTTTCACAAGCATAGAGCAAAACTGCTCTCACCGTCGCGTTGTAGATCCGACCTTTTACAGCCAGACTAACATCACGAAGGCGCCAAAGATGGCCCAGATTGGCATAAGCCGCTCTGGCTTTCACTATACGTGCATTGATCTCATCACTCACACCACCACCAGCACTTATGCAGCTACCTAGATACACGAACTTCTCGACTACTTCAATCTGCTCACCATCCAGAGTGAGTACAGGATTAGAATCCTGCCAGTCTTGTAGAAGAACTTTGCACTTCGAAGGTGCAAAGCACATACCATACCTACGGACATTGATTGCCAACTGATTAAGTGCGGATTGCATGACTTGGGCATTCTCGCACAGTAAGACAATATCATCCGCATACTCAAGGTCGAGAAGTCTTTCTCCAGGCAATAGATCCACACCACCATTACTTACATCCGTCAGAGCTGTTTCCAGAATGTCATCGATGGCAAAGTTGAAGAGGAATGGTGAGATTGGGCAACCCTGCCTAACCCCACTGCTCGAATGGAATAGTGGAGAAAGGTGGTTGTATGCCCTCACTCTGCCTGAGGTGTTTGTGTATAGGGCTTTTAGGATGTTAATAAACTTCTCAGGCACACCCTTCTTCAATAGACAATCCCAGAGAACAGTTCTGTCCAACGAATCGAAGGCAGCCTTGATATCAAGAAACACTACGATTGTTGGCCTTTGATAAGTATGGCGGTGTTCTAACACTTGGCGGAGGGTGAAGATATGATCAATACATCCTCGACCAGAACGAAACCCAGCCTGCTCCTCGCGAGTCAATCCTTCTCGGGTTTTGAACAACCTACGAAGTATAACGGAAGCCAATAGTTTGGACGCAATCGGAAGTAGACTTATCCCCCGATAGTTGTTACAGGAACGACGTGAACCCTTTTTAAAGATAGGGACAACTATCGACTCATTCCATGACGTTGGTACACTCTCTAGTTCCCAGATCTTTGTAAACAACGTCGTCAGTCCCTTAGTCAGAAAGTCATCACCATCTTTAAAAAGAGCCGGAGGTAAGTCGTCTGGGCCCGGCGATTTGTAACGTTTCAAGAGTTGGAGTTCCTTGCGGACTTCCGCCTCATTTGGTGGATCAGTCGTCACCGGCCATGGAGGGCAGGACAGTCTGACCAATGTTGCCGGAGCAGCAGGCCAGTTGAACTGCCCTTCAAAGAATTCTGCCCATCGTCCAAGACGTCGATGGATGTTAGTGATTGGCGTTCCGTCATCCTCGCAGATTGTTTCGCTCACACCAGACTTCTTGCTGCCAGTGACTCGGATGAGTTGGAAGAGCTTCCGGTAATTACCAGATGCAGCAGCTGCTTCCAACTCACTGGCACGCTCCGACCACCAGGCTTCTCGGTCCTTACGCAAGCTTTGCCCGATTTCATTACGTAACATCCTTCGTCTGTGGTCAAACTCACGGTCACCCGGAGTAGACCGACGGGCTTCAATCAGTTGTAAGGAACCAGAAGAAACCCAGTGCTTGTAAGCGGGACGTTTCGCCCGACCTGAGCATTCAAGTCTCCAGCTAGTACTACAATATCTGTCGAACGCATTTTCTGGAGAAGAACAGTTAGCTGATGGTAGAACTCGTCCTTGATTGCATCCGGGCTGCAATCTGTCGGGGCATAGGCGGAGATGACGAAAAGACATCGTTTCTCACGCCGATTTCTTCTCACTTTGATGGAACTTTCTAATCTTAACAGCACATAACCGACTGTTAGTGGGGATCCAGTCGACTAGTGCTGCCTCAGCTCTAGCGCTTAGTGCGACACCAACGCCAGCAAGACCAGACGAAGATGCCACAGGGTCCCCGGATAAACGCACATAAAACAAGCTTTTTGAAGCGACAGATGGAGAGCGAACTTGTAGTACTTCACCAGAGTCTTGAATACGGGTCTCGGATAGACAACACACATCAATATTAAGACTTTCCAAAGACATAGACAGCCCTATCTGTTGTCCGACCTGCATAAGTGTGCGAACGTTGAAGGCAGCCAGTTTGAATGGTGCACGTGGTTTCAGAAAAACTGCTTCAGTACTCATATTCGGTAGTAACATACAATTTTCAACCAGGCAGTGACTCGGGAACGTTTAGATAAAGCTGAATTTTCACCATAGGCGAGCTGCTGTCTGAGTCGAAACGGATACAAAAAGCAGAAATAGGAGATAGTGAATAAATGACGTGGTAAATAATAATAATAATAATAATAATAATAATAATAATAATAATAGTGCGAGTAATTTCAATGTTAGTCGGAGAGAAACGAATATTTTCTATAAGCAAATATTTCATCATGGATTTAGTGTGTGGGCTGAGATACTGCCCGGGTGCCCAGACCGAAGCAGGTGGTTTTCTTAGGGGGCCACACCCCGAGCCTTTGACCTAAAGGTCTAGTCCACAAGGCAGTGGAGCATCGTGAGGAGATGCAGTCCCATGGAAGCCGGTGACCGAAAGTTGGTTCATACGCCATTTGTTCGTTCAGGATACTGGAGCCCATGTGCACCATAGAATTGGGATCCGGTTATAGCGCCGGACTGCATCTCCTCACGATGCTCCACTGCCTTGTGGGTCAGACGTTCAGGTCAAAGGCTCGGGGTGTGGCCCCCTAAGAAAACCACCGAGCAGTATCACAGCCCTCACACAAATCAATTGAGATTTGTGTGGCGTATATGTATTTGGTGCCTCCCTGTACCTATACTTATGTGTTAAAATAAAATAAAATAAATAAACTATTGTCTTGTGAAGTAGACGTCTAGGTCAAAGGCTCGGGAAGTGGCCCTCTAAGAGAACCACCTGCTTCGATCTGGGCACCCGGACAGTATCCTAACCCTCACATAAATCATTTGATTCGTGTGGCGCATATATATTTAGTGTCTTCTTGTACCGATCTTTATGTGTTCAAATAAATAAATAGGGACCGATTAGAGTTAAAAATTAACACAGTTGAATGCCGGCTCAGTGGTCTAGACGTTAAGTGTTCGCGCGCGAGACCGGAGGTCCCGGGTTCGGGTCTTGCGTGCTGGATCGTACGCGTGCATTGATGAGACGTCTCGAACTGGAACAGAATGGACGTCAAGTGCTTCCAAGTTCTTAATGGTGGTCTAGCTTAGATCAACTCGTGAATTCAACTACCAAAATAATTGCTGTGAAATCTAAGACTTGAGATTACATAATTTTGTTTCATTTAATTAACGGTAAAACAAATTAATAATAACAGGTGAGAACAAGTTACGTGACCAGGTCTCAAATACGTAAATGAAAAGATAGTTGGGTATAAAGGTTAATATGTATCGACGCTAGCACGTGATTAGTAACTAAGTTCCTTCAAGATTTATTTCAGTTTTACTAAGAACATTCTAAGAGACGCCCGGCACAATAACATTTTTGGTGAATTACATCAACTGTGACTATATATCTTGCTCATCTTATTTAAAATCAAATTATTGAAGAATAAAATTGAATATTATAAAAACAGATTTTTCAACGTACCATAGTTTGATTGCTGAACAATCTTTAGAAAAAATGGTCTCTTAGAATACACTTATTTTACAGTTGATTACAATAACTGACATTTGTTTTTTGTATTGTAGAGTAGTGGTTCTATCCAACCTAGTCTTAGATTCGGTCATACTGTTGTTGCTTGGCGTGGTCGAGGTTGGCTTTTTGGTGGAAGAATGCAACAGCAAGTATGTCCTAATCAGTTGTACATGTTCGATCCTGGTTCAAAGTTTCTCTGTCAACCGGTTAGTCGGTCTGCATTGTCCGGTAACCTAAAATTAAATCATACTTTCAATGCTAAAAAGTTTCATCCTCCCTGTTGGGCTGAAGTAAGAGGTACGGTTGGTAGTGTACCGAGTGCTCGAGATGGTCATTCAGCTACTGTTTTAGAAGATGCAATGTTTATATTTGGTGGCTTCGAGGATGTCGTAAGTTTCTTCACGTTAATCGTAACCTCAGTTATGCGGTCTAGCTTACCAATAAATATTGAGTATTGTAGAGCATTAGTTTCCATGTTTATTTCTATTTTCATCACGAATAAAATGATATTTTTATCTTATTATACTCAAGTATCGCTGTTACCTGCGATGCTTCTTGTTGTATACGATATTAATATTGTACCTCTTAACTACGTTGGCAAATAGCTATTAAATACCATCACGTTTATCTTATGTCTATTTAGTCGTGTGTTGAAAGTAAAACTTTTCCATGGCTATTATAATTAGTCGTGAAGCTACCCAAAACTTTTGGTCGCTTCGTTTGTAATTTTTCAACTTGCGTTAACTGAATTTTTAAGTTCCATTTGAAATACATTTTGTTGAAATTGTGTGATTTCTCAAACGCGTTTCTAATTGAATTCATTTGAACAGGATTTCTTAGGCAGGTATTTTCCCCGTATTTTTAATACATATGGTAGTTAATTTCTGGACGCCATCGTAGCATATCGTAAATGACTCACCAAGCAAAAAATGGTCATATCGTCTATCTGGACTCTGAATCCGTAATAATACATTGTATAATATAGTCAGGGTCCACGTATTCGTGAATAACTGTTCTCGAACATTTAACCAGGCTTAGTGAACAAATGTAAGACAATTTTAACGCGATTACTTACTCATTACTATCCTTATCCACTCCATTGCTTTTGCCTGGACTTTTGATAAAAGATTTCACTTTCACGCAAAACACCAAAGGCAATTAGTAAGGTTATAAAATTAATCTTTTGATTTCACCATAGACGTGCTTGTGAATAGGTATTCGAAGCTTTCCCAAGCGTTGTTTTGTCAGATGCTTACCGCCCACTCCATCAATATCTCTCTAGCATGTCCGCTGGCATGACGAGATGCTGTTGTATTAGAACCCATCCACTCAAGAGAAATTCACATACCCTACAATATCGTATTGAACACAAATACTATGCAACAAACAGGTTGTAAAAGCTAGGCTAACCAAAAGCTCAGAATCAAGCCTTCTGCTTATTCACTGTTTCATAACAACTATCAATGTAATAGTAAGTATAGCTTTGTGACATCTCAACGTGTAGAAAATTGTATTTCTGACGCTTAGTGACTTAATGTAAGTCACTTCTTCAGCGTAAATAAATAAGTGTCAATTTATTTTTGTGATAAACCTCTTGTTTGTGACTACATTAACCTCTTATATACTGCTGTTAAGCTCAATGCTTACCAAAGTCTTGTCTGCAAAACTCCATATTTTAGGGGAAGTTTACTTTTTATGGTTGTTTGGTAGCTTGTGCGTCTCAATAGTACAAAAGTGTGTTAAATATCAGTGACCGATCTATGAATGGTCCGAACAGTGAACAACGTGTCAGTACATCGTTTCAAAATTATCATCAATTATGTTTTCAGCTCTTTGCACCGAAAAACTATGAATATATTTAGGACTCCACTGTAGTATTTTATATTAATATTTGACTTAGACTACAAATCAGAAAATTGTAAACTTGTTATTCTGTATTGTTCGTACTATTTAAACACTACATGTATTACATATCCTTGTATGATATCGTACCAATCTTTTGTTTGATGTAAAGACGGATAAACTATTGATAAGTAATTTCCGCCAACCTTTTCATGGCCTGTCTTACTGTCTATCTTTAGTTAAATACATAACCCGTTTTACAGTTATATGTAGTCTAAGTTTAATATGTAAAGGCATGTCTAATCTCTAGTATTTTTTCATTTTGCTGTATGTCTATTGGACTGATCTGCGTCAACACCTGAACTAAGGATAGGGAGTGAAGTAGTCGACCGCGTTGACAACTTCACTTATCTTGGAAGTCTGATCAGCCCTAATGGGTTGGTGTCTGACGAAATCCGAGCACGGATTCGAAAAGCTCGTTTGGCTTTCGCCAACTTACCTCACCTATGGCGAAGGCGAGATATCCGTCTATCAGTAAAGGGACGAGTATACTGCTCGGCAGTTCGTTCCGTTCTACTATACAGCTGCGAAACATGGCCTTTAAGAGTAGAAGATACTCGTAAGCTACAATTATTTGACCACAGATGTCTTAGAAATATTGCTGGTAAGTAATAGTGAGGTTAGACTCAGGGTATTAGGGAATGATAGTAAATCAGTTGGTGAGGTTATGAATCTTCATCGACTGAGATGGTTGAGCCACGTGTTGCGTATGCCTGAACACCGATTACCACGACGCGCAATGCTAACTGGTGTTAGGGATAATTGGAAAAAAGTTAGGGGCGGCCAAACCAAAACGTGGCATCAGTGCTTGAAGTCACTAACTCCTGGTCTGAGCCATGTCGGTAGATGCAGACTCAGTCAGAAGCAACGTGGAACTTCGTACGTACGTACATCAGTTCGAGTCGCCATACCACAGCACAGAGATTCAGTTATCGTCTCAAATCCCGTAGTGGCAGAGTAGTGAAAGTATAATTAGTGACAGGAAACGTTAAGGTTTGATGATGTTATTTAAGGAGTATAGTCCAGTGGAATATATTTGGAAAGAAAATAAAGGACATGAAGAATTCAGAAGATTAGAGTTTGAGAGAACACAAAGAGTGGATGCACCTGCGCCATTGCAAACGATTTTTAGCCATGTCACTCAAGGTCTCTAACCATCGGTTGCTATCGTCTCGCGGTCCCCAACCAGGTAGTCTACACCTACCAACATGACTCAGTCCACTTGTCAGTGACTTCATGGATTTGTGCCATGTTTTGGTCTGGCCGCCCCTAGCTTTCTTCCAACCTACTCCTACACCACAAAACATAGCACGTCGGGGCAGTCGGTGGTCGGGCATGCGCAACACATGTCCCAGCCATCTCAACTGATTAAGTTTCACTACTTCGTCAATTGATTTGCCATCCTTACCTAGTACCCGTTTCCTAACAACTGAGTTACTTACTCGGTGGTCCCAGGATATACGAGCAATATTTCGAAGACACCTATGATCAAATACTAGTAACCTACGAATATCCTCTACTCTTACAGGCCATGTTTCACTGCCATAAAGTAGGACGGAACGAACTGCTGCGCAGTAAACTCGTCCTTTAGTTGATAGACGGATATCTCGCCCACGCCACAAATGACGCAAGTTGGCAAAAGTTAGTCGAGCTTTCTGTATCCGTGCTGAGATTTCGTCACACACCAAACCACAAGGGCTGATGAGACTTCCAAGATAAGTGAAGCGGTCAACACGCTCAACAACTTCACTCCCTATCACTAATTCGGGTGTTGATGCAACGCAATCCTGAAACAACATTTTGCATTTCGAGGGAGAGAATCGCATCCCGAACATGCCTGCATTATTGCCTATCGTGATGACCTGACCGAGCTATATTGGCTGGAACACATGTTCCTGCAGGTTCTACCATGCCAGGCAGGTCGATTGGAGAACGGTAAGACTAAAAGCAGCAACTCAAGGTCTGAGGGCGAAGTCGTACTGCTGACTGTACAGAGGTGTGACAGCAGTAAGGTGTTTCCCTCGGACAACCAGCATCTGCAGTGATACTGCCTTCTCACAAGGAAGGAAGGGGTTAGAAAAGGTTGACCCTAAAAATGTCACACCTCACCTTACCCCACGGATTTCCGTCTCCGTCGGTAAGGCCCTTTGAAGAACGGAGCTAACACATTAAAAACCTCCCACAAAAAGGCCGTGCGCGACCGACCTCAAGCAGTTGTCCCTTGGGCTCTGCGGTCACGCACTCAGGTCGCTAAGACCAACACTAATCGGATTTCCTTTTCAGGTCCCTCAAGAAATACCCTTCCACGGTGTGGGCAACCGGGAAGTTATATCAGCCCTCATACCCGTAACAGCACACGAGACCAAGTTGGTCACATTCAAATCCTTCCTACACCTCCTAATAACAGATGCAGATTACTTGGTTGGGGTCCGCGTGACTATCGTAACCAATGGTTGGAGACTCTTGGTGACATTGCTCAGAATCGATCACAGTGGCGTAGATGTATACACTCTCTGTCTTCCCTTAAACTAGGAGATTAAAATCGCTTCATATCTTTCTTTCTACGAACTAATTCTTTATTTCTGTACTATCTCCTCATATGCAATCTTTCTTTTATATATTACCACCACTAAATTAACTAATTCTATCAATCTGGTGTTCATCATGTTGTGCTAATGCGGTATGGCAACTTGAACCGATGCATGTATGTGCCTGCTCCTACATTGCAGCTGACTGACTAAAACTAGATGTTCATATAAACAGCCCTTGTTGTGACTGATGCGATTCCACCATTTTAAGGTGATCGTTAGTGACACTTCATGATCGTAACGTTATATTACGAACTGGTGTGAATTTAAAATGTTAACTGTTAAATTTTTGTTCAATGAGACCTTAATCACTGTCAGATCTGAAGATCTTGAGTTCTATCTCTAGCTGGGTTATAAGTGTGCAGTACTAAAACTAAGACAAAACGGCTGCTTAGTGCATTCTGGTTCTCAGTAGTTTTTCAGTACTAGTCAATTCGTAAAAAATCAACTCAAAATTGAACCGATTCCCACGACCATAAAACTAAGTACATTAACTAAACTCTGAATAATAAGCCTTCGAAAAAAAATTCTATTTTCCACAGTAAAACATCTTATTTATCAAATTCTTTTAAATACATTTTATCTTTTAGTTTGATAATTATGACAATTCAGTTTATCGACTGGATTTCATTACTTGGAACTGGACTCGTATAGAAATTCGTGATGACTTGTTATCATTTTCAGATCCTTCCCTTAGTGTTCCATTAGATACAAATAGAAGTCGACAATTCGGTATAGACTCGCACGAATATTTAAATTGCATTTGGAATGATAACGTATCACATGATCAAACATCCCATCCTAGAACTCCTTTACCTCGTGATTTCGCATGTCTTACTAGTCACCAAGGTCGTATATTTCTGTTTGGTGGACGAAGTAAATCACCTAATCACCCATCGTGTGATGTCTATGATTCTGCTTTATGGGAGCTCATTCCTCTTGTCAATGTATCAGATTACTCCTCCTCTGACACGACGAACATTTCCGAAGGACAGAAGCTAACTCCCGCAAAATGTAATTTTTGTAATGTAGAAATGATCGATTATTTGGGTACTACTTCCGGTGGGTTACTTCGCATTCTGTGGGAAGAAGAAACAGGAAACTGGTGTGGGTATGTGTCGACCAATTTAAGCTATACATAAGTTATTATTATATATATATATATATATATATATATATATATATATATATATATATAACAGAACGGAGCAAACTGTTGCGTTGTATATTTGTCCCTTAGTCAGCAGACAGATTTGTCGCCGCTTTATGGATTCGTACCGAGATTTCGTCGGATATCAACCCACTAGGTCTAGTGTGATTTCCAAGATGACTTAATTGACACAATCAACTATATCATTTTCTACCGTTCGTTCAGGCGCTGATCCAGACAGGTCCCGAAGCAAGATTTTTCAGTTTTAGAGGGAGAAATACATCTCAAATATGCTTGCATTATTGCTCAAAGTGGCAGGAAGACCATGCATTTTTAACATCTTTGCCAAAACGTTCTATGTAATCTGTGTATCCCAAGTCAACAAAAGGATCTTGTTATGTATTTATGCTCATATGATCATCGCGAAATACGATTTCCAACTTAGAAACGCTGACTTATACGACCAAACTAATTATGCATACACCAGTACGGGCAGCCTAGAGTTCTGATTAGTCCTTTTTCCTCCTAGCCTTATCTGTTAAGTCCTGAATGCCGATCTCAGCCTCCGCGATACAAATCATACATTTCAAACGTTTTTGATTTATATATTAGCAAAATCAGATTACATCACACCATAAAACAGAAACTAACATTTGTACAAGATCAAGCCAAAAGTGGCTTTAGTCAGCACTAAAAGCCACACAAAACTAGCTTGTTCGTTGACCCGTAACTAGTTGATGTTTCTTTAAAATATAGAGCCAATTTTTGTCCATTTAACTGGATTTCGTAGTAACTTTGGGTAACTTATCTCATTTACTTTTTGCTCACCTCTTTTTCATAGACCTGAATTCTGGGCAACTTCTCCCTCTCGTCCATGTTGTTTGTGGAAATTTATTCATAGTATTGTAGAAAACAAATCATATACACCAAACTATTATAAACTACCATCAAACTATTATTCCCGTTGGTCAAGTGGTTATGCAGTTTGGATAGTTCGTCATCCAGGTCATGGTTTACAATCACCAGAAGTTCTGCTTTCACAAATATCCAGTAAAGTTAATGGATTCACATATGATTCGAAGTCGCCATTTGTAGAATCGTCGTCATCATCAACATCATCAAAGTTAAATTCACCATACGGACGTAGGAGTCTTTCACATTGTAAATTGATCTAATTTTTCTCACTGCACTGAAAGTTTTCCTTTATACAAATCTTTGCGGTATTATAGGGTTATACAAGAAGTTTTTTTGTTAAAACGCTATTTTATCACCTAGAAATGTGCGCGTTTACTTGAATTGAATGAGTAAATTGTGTTTAGGATGGATGATGCTTCTTATTTAAAAAAGAATAATAATCATTGATCAGCTTGTAAATCTGTTGTGATGCAAATAATGTGTTTATCCACACTGTCTCGATGTGTAACATATTTTGGAATAGATGGATTGGAGATTGAATATAAAGTATATCTATCCGGTCTTTAGCTATTTCCGAGAACATTTTTAATATGTGAATGATTTCTAGCTGTAATCTGTTAAATGTAAGAAAACCAGTTATAAAGATTTCAGCCTGTCATGCTCAACGTACAACATGTCACATATGTTCATCAATTAAAATTATCGCAGCGCAGTATAGGAGGATATCAGAGTAGTAATAGAAAAAAACTAGGCCCCAAAGATAAAACTCAAGAAGATATGTATTTGCGTCATAAAATATTTAAAAAAAACTTAGGATCTTAGGAAACACAATGAGTAAATGAAACCGCTTCATTGCTAACAATTTCGAACTACTTCACTCTATTTCTTACCATTGATCACAATAGTCACACAGACACAAACTAGTTAATCTGAAACTACCTACACTGTTCAATCCAATAGTCAATAACTTCTTAGACTGATTCCATATCATGGTTTGGCTGACCAGAGTTTTCTATCAGCCTACTATACCAGCCATCACTGTGCATCGAGGTACGCGCTCGTTGAGCATACGCGATACATGTCCCAACCATCTCAGTCGATAAAGACTCACTACATTATCAATCGACTTGCCATACGTTCCTAGTATCCTAGGTTTAAGTTCACCACTCCTCACTCACTAATCCTAACATACACGAATAATGCTTCGAAGGCATCTGTAATTAAGCGCTATTAACCTACAGCTTTTCAGCGGGATGTTGCATACTTATGCTTATATTTCGTAGACAGTTCGACCTGATTACAATTACTGCAACAATTACTCACGGTATATAATATTTTCAAAGTTGAAACGAAGTTGTCAAAATGATTTATTTCAAACAGATGACTCAAACTACATGACCAATGAATAGCTAAGTAAGAAAATGAATGCGTGAAAATAATTTAGCAAGTAAATATGTATGTATATGCCTTTATTTATTTTATTATCTATTTCAACACATAAACATTGGTACAAGAAGGCACAAAGTATATATGCGCCACACTTCGTAATTCGATTTGTATGAGGGCTGAAATACCGCCCCTGGCGCCCAAACCGAAGCTAATGATGTATGTATATGTGGATGAGTAATTGTCGGTCCATTATATATGTTGTGAACGAGAACACAGGTGGGGGCAATCAGTATATTTAATACAAAGTCATATAATATCTTGGTTAAATGCAAGAACCATACACTGAATAGTTCATTTTCAATTTTACACCATTTTTCCTTCACATTGTATGATTCTTCCAGTTCACAATTCCTTTCTATTTTTTCTTCTCTTCAATTTGATCTTCTTAGCCTTTTGCTGCCAGTCATTCAACTTTTGATTGGTGTTGCATACTACTTATGTCGGCAGACATAAGTTCAAGTAGCGTTCAGCTGTATATATATACTCTCACATCTTAGAAAAATTCAAACTTAAAGATTTACAGAAAACAGAAGTTGTTTTATGTGTTCTTTGCTGCGATACTTAATCACAAATATTACAGTTAACTAAACACTGAAATTAATTATGCATGTTCAAAGCATTTGATTTTTGTTATGTCCTTATGCCCGATTAATTATATTACGTGATACGACCGTCATTAGAGACACCGACTTATACGACCAGACTAATGATCCATAACCGTACCAGAGCAGACTAGAGTTGTTGGTTCTCTGAAATCGTAGCTTCTCTCCTAACCTAGACGGTCCAGTCCAGAACGTCAATATCAGCCTCCGCAATACAAATAATATATTTCAAGCATAGTGTGCTTATATACAAACAAATCAGACCGCATCATACCACAAATAGAAAATAACAATTATACAAGATCAAAACAAAAAGTGACTTTGATTGTAAGAGACTGCTACTAATAAATTGGAAATATCTTAAGAATAATAAATAATTTCATAATAGTCAAAAGTCAAATAAATGCTTATAATAAAAGGAATATATATATACATACAATATAGCTACTTAATAGTTACAACAGGAATATACGTATAGCATTAGTCCACAACTAATTCAATCCTTCTGACTTTTCTCCTTTTATAAATTCTGGAATAATAATGTGTTTGTATGATTTAGATTGGAACTGCGCCGATTCTTCATACTTTGACTCGACGATATAACTCAATTGTCTGGCCTCTGCAGACACTAATTATCATTTCAATTGTCCAAGCTTTATCTAACCTTATATCAACATACGTGTGTACCTTATTGTGTAATTATCTAAAATGTACTTAGTTCTGTTATTTGTTTTAGTTTTATTACATCATGACTTTAAAGTATTCTGGTCTGTATAGATTTAATATTCTATCTTCACTTTCGCAATATATGTTATACATTTCGTAACGATTTCCCAAAAAATTATTTTGTTAAATTTTAATAAAATATCTAGGGTCCTACAATGGTAATTTATACATTGCCTTTGGTGCAATTCGATCACAGACAGGTCGAAGTCTCCAGCTACATTATCAAGATGTTTGGCGCTTCAATTTGTCTACCTTGTCTTGGAAAGAACTTTCCTATATGTCTAGTATGAAATCGTCAAATCTGCACATCCATCTACCTTCTGCCCGTAGACGTGCTGTAGCGTGTCTATATATGGCTCCACCTAGTACTCATAGGGATTATAATCCCACGTTAATCAAAAAACATCCTCAGGTATTTGTATTTGGTGGAACACAACCAAGAGCACTTAATGAGAAAATATCTCTTGTCAACAATAATGGCCATAACGATTCACGATCTATCAACGAGTCTTCAACATCCTATGGAATTCTTCCTCACAGAAGTTTATTCAATCTCAATTGGGGTTTGTGCATTTTACTACTAACTTTTCCTAATTTTTTTCATAAAAGAATTTGGGATGTTTGTATTCATGGTATTTATTTGCTACTGGGATAGTAAAAACACATACCAAATTCACGAAGTACAGATATTCATATTATGAAATGTGTCTGTATTATAATGACGTAACACGTTTGGATTGAGATCACCGTCCCATGCTGGATACTAGATACCGACTGGACGCGATACTTGATCACATAGTACTCAAATAAGTTTGACCAAAGATCAGGTATAAGCCGAGAAGCACAACATAAAGCACTCAATAAGTGCAGTTGCTTTTGCACAGTCACGTGTATTTATTGTAGCCATATATTTTTGTCCTCGCTTATTAACCAACCATGTCCTACTTTCATCTGATCTATTAATTATACCTTCCAATGTCATAAAAATCTTAATTTTAGGTTGTTTTTTGTGAAGAAAAATTAGAATATCCCCTCTTGCCATGTAGGGGAATCTATAAGCATATATTTCCTGTGGGAAACATTCCTTGACAAATATATTATTTATTTATAACAATCTACCCAATGCTCAATTTATTCGAAATTATCAAGTCAAACCGCGGTAATGATACCTACAAATTCCTTGACAAAGTTTTTTGGTGTCGGATAAAAGCTCTCAATAGAGTATAAAGTTTATAATCATGTGAAAACTATCTTTGGTTAAAGTGAATAGATCTCAACCACTTTTAATGTTTTCCTGTTTCTGAATAAACTCAGAGCAAAACTGATGAGTACTTATTTTTAAGGGAATTAGTGAGCAAGTTTTGAAACAGAAAAATATTACCATAGTGATTAGATCTCCCATCTCTAAAGATAGTTTCACAGAAAGTTATGAGAAAAATGAATAAGGTCTCTTAAATTGTAAACGTGAGAAGTATGACAGTTTTTATCCACATTCGAGATGGGGAACGGGTAATTCATGTGACATTTTGATGCAAATTCAAATCTTTAAACAGGTGATTGTAAAATCAGTTAGCTTTTGACCGATAAATCATTTCCAAACATCAGTAACAATGACCTTCTACTCATGTGCTTCTTTTGATCCTTATCTTGACATATCACATCGTCATGATTATTCTGAATAAAGACCTTCCAACTCCCAAGACTGAGATTAAATGATTTCTTACGGTTAGTGCTTTTTTCTACGGGATGGCTATCCTAACCCTATGCCCAACCCTGCCCCTCTATCTGGGCTTGGGGCCCCTAGTAACTCTAGAAGAACTCCGGGCGAAGTTGCAATTATATAAAGCTATTAAAAGTTCGATTGTGGAATCTTCAAAAAATGGTAAATTTCTATTCTAAATAGCTAACAATGTTATTTTCTGCTGTCCTCTTATGTAGCTTTCCGCGTTTTCATACATTTGTTGAGCCTAACTGAACAGAATAAAATTAAGACTGCGTAAGAAGTGGGTTTAATTATAGTTCATGCCTATTTGTAAGTCGATAAAATGATATTCAGGGATATGTCCAAGTAACCATGGTAAAGTGAGAATAGTCCACCTAATGACTGTAACTCTGTCGTTTACAAGTGACATTACACAAGCTTGCTTATCTAGTTTTCTTGGTATATTGCAGCTACAACAATTCATTAACCGTAATTATTTTGGTGATGCTGTGTTGATAGAGTGCATCCCACTATAATTAGTTTGTTGTAGTTTCATAAGTATCAGGATTTTTATTTTATTTATTTATTTTAACACATAGGTATAGGTACAGGGAGCCACCAAGTACATATACGCCTTGCTAATAATTGTAGAAGTGAAGTGAAGCTCTTTATACACACTTTTTATTTGTGTAAAATTACAATGGAATAATGGTTGATTGATTTGGACAGATAGGTTCAATCACAGATAATAATCAAGAGCTTACTAGATAATTCCCGGAGTGAAGCTGTTATTAGTAGACCTGAACTATCTCGGATGTGAGGCGTTTACTTACTAGTGAGATTGAAAGACAGTTGTACAATATCATGAATCGATTGAAGTTCAAAATTTATAACACTGGATGCCGACCCAGTTGTCTGAAGTTAAGGTGCTCATGGCGAGACCTGAAAATCATGAATTCGATCACCAGTGTAGTCGTGAATACTCACTACTGAGGAGTCCCATATTAAAACGAGACAGCTGTACAATGCTTCTCGGTTTCCAATGGTTGCCTAATTGAGATCAATCTGTGATGTAAACTCTGTTAATTCATCAGTCTCACCAAACCTCTCATGCGGACGAAGACGTCGCCATAAAAATAACAATTTTTGTTCGCGCATGTATTCAGTTGAATTAATGGTTTTGTTCTCTAAAATCTTTTGTGTTTGTATCTCAACAAATTACCAATTTACTCAACTATTTAAATCATGTAGTAATTTGGTCAGTTTTTATGTCAACATACTATAAATCACTTTTCATGTTATGCCATAAATCCTTCTTTTTATTAAAAAACAATCTCACTCTATAGATGTAATCATAATTTGGTTCTGTCAAATTTTAATGATTTTTTTGTTTTATATTCCTTCTTTTGCCTTTTTTTAAAAAAGGTAATAATCGAACTCAGAATGAAGTACTTGGATTGAGAAGAACCACTTCCTCAATGAAATCATTTGTTTCAATTTTATGCGTCCAGTCGAATTCTTCGATTCCTGATCCTGATCATAGTAATATCATATCTTCAAATTCTACCACAGATTCATTTCTGTCTACTTCTGCAACACCGTCGTCGTCCTCTTCATCACCATCGAATACGCCAGTGACAACTTTCCATCTTATCATTATCATTCCATCCTATTTATGCAATTCTCATTTATTAAATGGTTTGAGTCCGTTGCTAATCAATGATTTTATCCTTTTGTCTAACTTATTTGTTATAAGCTTTGATGAATTGTCTCAATTATTTAATCTAACAACTAACACATCTGATAATAATAATAATAATTCGCCATTTATTAAATATCTCCAGTCTATACATTCTCATCAATTCAATCACATGAATCCACATAGTGCTAGCAACAACACCAGTAATAATAATAATGTTACTGTTGATGAAACGATCCATCTATTTCATATAGCCTGGTTAACTTTAACAAATAATAAGTTCTCCACTCATAAAACAACGGGTCATAGTGATATTAGTAACGATGTCAGTTGTGAAAGGAATTCTACGCCCTGTCCATTATCAAAATTTCATATTATTTTTGTTGCAAACTGTCCAATGTCACCTAGTTGTCTTTTGTTCAAGTACGTTCATTAGTTTTTATTTGTGTGAATTTATCGGTTAATTAGTTTATTTTTTTACCATTCGGAAGTGATGAGTTATGACTAAAAAAGCGGACATCTGGCGCCTAAACGAGGTTAGTGGTTACAGCGGGTTAACCTAGTAAAGTTAAAAAACCTTGATTGCGAAACATTGGTGTACATGGGGTTCACGACCATGATTTACTTGTCATTTGAAAAGTGGGAAAGCCAATAAATATAAAAAAAAACAACAATCAACGATTGTTTACTTCTACTAATTGTCGTCCGATTGCAACATAAATATAAATGAATTTTACAAGTACACTTTTGGTCTGATGTCCACATTTTACACATGAATTCTGCTTACTGTAGTGACCATGTTTCATAGTTAATAACCAGCCAGACAAATCTCCTATGTAACAGGGGGGTAGGTTAACAAAAGCTTAACGGACTGCTTTAATATACTGCCAGTAGCGTTTTTATCACTCACTACTGCTTAGTATCATCGTGTAGATTTCGTGACAGCCCATATACAAGCTGTTTTCTCTCTGTTGTTGAGCTTCAGCAGTGACTTAGTGGTTACAGCCCTCAGTTTCCCTTCCCACCTATTTCGATTTGAGTAGTATCACTAGTCCTCAACCAAGGAAATAAAGTATTCCTCAAAATGGAATGAGCATCTTTATATTTTACTCATATTAACTATCGGTTTTGAAACTGATCTAAATGAGTTTGCACAATTTCATATAACAAGAGCTTTAGTATTATTTGGGTTGATATCAAGAAGGAACGCATTTGTGAAAGTGGAGAAGAATGGTTATGGTGAATAGTGTGCAGTCGATTGCTGCTGAAACTGTGGGATTGATAGAAACTGCTAAATTGTCCATACCGAAAAGTTTTTTAAAAAAGTCTGAATATCAATTGAATTGAATGTACTGATGCTGTCATGTTTTTGACGCCGGCTACACATGTTTTTTTTTGTGAATGCTTGATTTCACTTTTTCAGTTTTAACTTTGTCTAGAAAATATGCCGCAGACACCTGTTTATCCGCGAAAAGGTATTGCTTCCAGGACTTGGTAGTAAACACTCGATATATTTATATATGTTCTCTGGATTTATTGTTTTTCATGTTCTAATCGGAATTACAGTATTTTCCCATTTAACCATACCGATTTATTATTTTGAAATTATGACAAAGATTTGTAGTTCAGGAGAATAATTTTGATGGAGTATTCTTTTCTGAGTTGTGTTGTCTAATGGTGAAGCTTTCCTTATCTTTCTAGACAACATTGTTAACACAAGCTTTAGATAAAACTGAATTATTCTAATTTTTCAACATATAAGTAACAGCTTGTCTGGTCGACATTGGTTTCAATTAGTTAAGAGTCAATAATAGTCAGTTAAGATCAATGTCGACCAATCAAGACTTTAATTGCATAAGGAGAAACTCGAATAATTCGGTTCTACGTGAAGCGGGCGCTAACAATACTGTTAAACCTTCCAACTCAATATACACAACTGCTCCAGAATGTTTTTTGGGAGTATTTTCTACTTGTGTTATTATTATTAGCCTGTTTTGCGTTTTAGCTCCGAAACAAATCAAAACTACAAACCTGTAATATTAAAACAATACACATTTTATCAAAATTCACATGAAATAATTAATTTACAAAAACCATGTTGTATTAATCATGCATCTGATATATACACATCATCACAGCTAATTAATATCTGTCTCAATTCAGTGATTTATGCATTGTTCGAAGCGGTAGAACGTGGATTAAAATATACATATTCCGAGTGTCCTACTACAACAACTAATTCATTGTCATCAACAGTGTGCAACTCTACTTTGTTTCTTAGTGATAATGATAATGACAATGATCATGGTAGTCAACATCATCATAATTTCTTAACTTATAAAACATTTTTTATATACTCTGATATTGATATGGAAGAATTGGAAAATTATGCAACTCATGTTTATATTGATGCAAATCAGATAACATCTTTTGTTAAAACTAGTACCTTAGATATCGTTTGTAATGACAATAATAATAATAATAATAATTCATTCTTATCATCATCATCATCCACTTCAAAATCGACTTATAACTCCAATATTCTATCTTATCCAATTAAAAACTCTGTACAACAGACCGTAGCATCCGTTTTATTGAAATATTTATATTTTATTCAAACTTCATTCCATCTAATATTTGACGATAATAAATTGTTATTAAATCAACAAGAAATTTTACAATCTTTATACACAGATCCTGTTCATTTATACAGTGACAACAATAGTAATAGATTTTCGACGTCTCCCGTACATTTCACAATAAGAGGTAAGTATTTGTGGACGGTTAGTATGAATTCTTTTAGTCAGTCATAATCAACGTTTAGCGTAGTACACATGTGCATTGTCTCAAGTCAACATATCACATAAAAAACGAGATGAATAGTAATGGAGTCAAAATTATCCCAGCAGTAATTTTAGGGAGAAGACTGAACATTGAGGAAATAGTTCACGAGGACAGAATTGAAAAGTATGTCTAATGAAAGATTAATATTCAAGATATCGAGTAAGGAAAAAGAGTAAATGGATCTAGGCATCTGTGGTCAATTCTGAAGCATGTAACCCATTGTCTTTAATCGACCCAACCAAGATCTAGCATTAGTTCATGAAGTTATTAACCACTGAACTGAAGATATACTTAACTGCAGAAAACGTGGCTGGATTTCGAGCGTTTATTGTAATCTATGGTTGGAGACAGGATAACATAAATGAAAACCAGTCACAATCATACAGCTCTGTTCACTATTTGCATTCTCTTAGACTGTTAGTCTTAAGATCATCTGGCAATGTTTCTGTTTCACGAATTCATTCTTATCAAATCATACTTCCTATGTCTAGCGTATTTTTATCAGCACTGATATTCTTATTAATACTACAGTGGTATTCATCTTGCTATGGTGATGTAAGGTGTGGCACATAATCGGAAGTTTTCAATATTTCTGCTTACAACTGATTTACTTCACTTGCACACGATATCAATGATGAATTGTTTTTAAGCCAACAACTCTTACCACTTTACCTTCCTTCATATTCATTGTTTAAATCCTTGCCATGTTAAAATTGACCTTAATTTTATTGTGTTTATAAAAATTAAATAACTTTTTTTCCAAAACAATTTGTTCTCAATCTACAGATTCGTCTACTGTTAATTCAACTAGTCATATTTCCGGTAGATATTCAGAGTCATCTACATCAAATAATATTAATAATTCGCACGTCGTATCAGGATCTTCACATTATTTTCTCAGTGAAAGACTAGCTTTAGAAATGCTCAACAATGAGAATATTTTCAATTTTACAGGAATTGGCATGTACAGTGGTGGTAGTAGTAACGAGAATTTTTTTACTTTAAACCCTCCATCTGCAACCGTTGAAGATGAAATCAATGATGATATTGATGATGATGTTGATCATGATGGTGATGACGATTATGATAATGGTGATGATTCTGTGGATTCTGATTTTTCGGAAATTCATTGTATACCTAATATAGGAGTTTTGTCGAAGGGTACAGAAAGTGAGAAATTAATTTTATTTGTATATTCTATCTAAGATTTTTTAATAGATGGTTTGATTTCAGGATTTCAAAACATTCACTATTATAATACATTGATGAATGGTTGAATCTGATAAGTAATATATGTTTCTAGATATTTATGATTATCATACTCATACATGAATTTTCAAACGTAGCAGTTGTAAACCTAAACATTTAGTGTACTTCACACCAGATGGATTTTGACCAGCACAGGAATCCAGAATTCTTGCTCTGTCCTATTCGAGACTCATAGGTTGAATGTACCTTATCTCAGCGCTGATATTCACACCGGGATTCAAACGTCACTGTATTCACTTCAAACGTCCTATGCGTTATCCACTGAGCTAGTGAGTCCAGATGATCACTAACTTATCCAACGGCCTTAATGTTTGTCTTATTATTATTAGAAGCGTTTGAGTTACCCCGTTGTTGATATATACTGAGTACTAATCCAGGTATGAACATGACTGGGTTTCAAATAAATCCTGCCGACAACGAAACGCGATTTCTGATCTCCATTACTAACCATAATCCATACGTTCTAAATGTTTTGTGTCTTGATATCTATATAGAATCGATCCGCGCAAGTTACTATTAAAAACTGATCGAAATTCAGTTCTGGACATCAACCACAGGATAACTCAAACTCATTTTAATAATATAATTATTTAGTATCATTTTTCTAATGAACAGAAAATACCGTAACTTTATTGGTACTTTTACATACATATTCATACAAAAAACATGAGTTGCAGTTAACAAAATAATTCATAAAAAAATCTAAAACTGTAATACAATTAATTTCAAGTTCAGATAATACACATTCATTCAGTGCTAATTAATTCATTATTATGATTTAAATTTGATGTATAAATAAATAACTCACAATTCATACATATAATGTTGTTCCTGATTTCCTTTACAGAACTCATAGAATTGTCTGACTGTTATACTTTCACTTTCGATACTAGCCTTTATGAATTGTGTCTTCGTAGTTCATCTGATCTTGCTCAAGAACCTGTTGTATCACAGATTTTACCATCAACTATAGTGTACGTTAAAATTAATTTTTGTTGTTGATCTTTTGAGTTTTTGTTTTAACCTAACTGGCTATGTTTAGTTCATTTTTATATGGTAAGAATTTATTTTGGATTTCCTATTATAACTGATCTTGTTCACCAGCGTCCATATACCTGTATGCTCTTGCCACTTGATTGAACTGTGCTGTTCAGGTTTTAAAAACCCTGGATATCGTCTGGTTCTCTTGGAAACCAGAGTATAATATCCCTCTTGCAGGGTATATTTATAACTGAATTTCGAATTATTTGTCATAAAGTTTTTTTCTCCATCTCTGACTGTTCAGTTTGTTTCGTCTTCACAAATTTTGTCGTTCCTATTATTCTTTGATACCATTAAATTTTGACAAAGCAGTTTTAGAATTAATTGACTTTGGATAACTTCTATACACTCAAGTAATGGGATTGTAAATTGAGCTTCAGTGGAAAGGGTTACATACCTCAAATGATCATTAAATCTAGAACAATGCTGGTAATTATTTCCAGAGTTTTTAACATTTTGATTAGCAAATTTATAGTAAGTTGGTTAAAATAGTTAAGCACTTATCTGAAAAAACTATCGTTATGCAGTAAACAAATAAAGAATCTTAAGTGACTTTATGAGAATATTATATTACTAAATACCTGTAAGACTGCGAAAAGCTAGTGGCATTCATTTAGTAGTCGTTTCATGGTTCGCATCTCAGCTATGATCAGCAACTGTTACAGAAAAACTGAAGATACTACCATCTCACTTAATTTTTAGTGGTTAAGTTACGGTTTATATTCATAACTCAATGGTTACAAATAGAGTTCTCAAGTAAATCTACTCCTTTTTACGGAGTAAAAAAGTTGTACTTCAAGTATTATCCCTTGAACCCTGAGATCGACAAGACCACTACCAACCCAGTCCCTTTCCAGGTACATTAAGGAAAAGTATTTTTCCATAGTGTAGGCAACTGGGAAGCGATGATCGTCCACATACCTGTAATAGCACTCGCAACTGACGTAATGTTCCATAAATGACTTTACTATATTCGACATGTGATAATGAAACTGTTCGATAATCGGTAACAAACTACCTATTTCTTCTTTACATGTGTACTAATTTTTATTCAAGCATAAAATTGACTCTCATGATTGTGTCCATACATAAGTGCTAACTATCAAATACTTTTATCATGTTGCGATCTGTTCTACTGAATTATTCAGTCATTTGGCGATTTATGTAATTTTTTACCGCTTTTTTGTAGGAATGATTTAAAACATCTATATTCACCTCATAATTACTCGATGCGTCGGTCACGATTTGGATAATCTGAATAAGAAAGATTACAAAACCTCATTTTCATATTTAATGTTCTAAAAGTGTCATAAACTGTATAATATTCTGACTTGTAAACCTTTCGTAATAATATCGTGTACATTCATGTTCCAAAAATGTTTTGTAATTACTAATTCATGATTTCACCTTCAAAGTGTAATCCTTATTTTTACCCGTTGTTAAACATTCCTCAAAAGCTTGTTAAGGCGTTAGTTTAGTAATTTCAATCACTCGTTCTGCTCTCTCACAGATTATGATGTCAATGAGCGAAGCTTTACGGTTGGTTTCGAAAGACGTGCAATCACAGAGTAAAAGTAACTCATGAAGAAAATAACACAGTGAAGTCGGTAGAAATTTCGATAGTACCATATTTTAGTTGTAATAGTTTCAGTGGATTCAACTTTTTTAACGGGACTTTGTCTTGAATTTATAATCTATTAAACATTTTATGTAGAGCAGTATTTGAAATATCAGTCATGGACCGTAACCCATGTCAAATGTATCTACAGCCACGTTTCAGTATATGAAAATCATTTAAACGATTATTTCGGAGACTTGGTTGGCTGCTTTAACTTCTTAGCTTACAAAAGATAACCGAAGTTTTATGTTTTGTTTGATAAGACTATTATCGCATGTAGATTTTAGATACTTTGTGCTGCTGTGTTTGCGTGACATCAAGGATAAATATGAAGATGAAAGTTCCAAATATTTGATTTTCAATTCCTTCCTAATGAGCCGACAGTGCTATCGCTTAAGTTACAAATTGTAGCTAAATTTAAGTTCTAGCTTACTAGTTAAGGCAGCCGCTCTTCAACCACTCGATCATAATTATGAATCTTTCTGTAACTATTTCCGAGGGTAAAGAGAGTCAGTTCTCTCTCTCCAAAAACTCACATGGCCACGTGTATACAGCCACTGCCTGAAAGGTCCTACTCACTGCCTTCTTGTGAAGTGGTTGTTTACGAAATTGAGAGATCGAAAAGCGAATGTCCGGCGCTTCAACTGTGTTGGTGGATATGGAAGATCCACCTAGGGGAATTGGAAAACCCTAACTCCAAACCGGGATCTTTTCGGAACAAATGTCGTACGAACCAGTTATTGGTCACCGGCTACCATGAGATTGCATCTCCTGACATCGCTCCACTGCGTTGTCTATCAGACCTTTAGGTCGAAGCCTTCGGGTGTGGCCCTCTAGGAAAACCACGTGCTTCGGTCTGGGCACCCGGGCAGTATCACAGCCCACACACAAATCAAGTACCTTGTGTGGCGCATATGTATTCGGTGCCCCTTTGTACCAATATTTATGTGTCCAAATAAATACTTCGTTATGGATGCTAGGTAGCATCACTGGTTCTTACAAAAGCAGTCTGACTCAAAGGTGAGCGCATAACTTTGCACTTGGCAAGTGAATTACATAATTATATCATAAAGGTGAATGACTGAGCCTGGATCATTTGGTCTCATTTCATATCGTAATTTTGGTACACCTATCCGAGATATGATTAGCACAAAAACTTTGTGGCAAACAAAAGCTTCTGCAGTTCACAAATTGTAGTCTTTTTAATTAGTTGTAAAGTTTCGCCGAATTACCTAAGTGAATTCATTGTATTCCGTGATCTGCCGAGTTGTATTTAATCTGAATTATCGCCTAAACCTGTTCATTGTTTTAAATGATGCAGCATGAAGGTAATAGATAACATTTGACTAAAATATAGCATTAACCATTGTTTTCTGAAAAGCTTGTACTAGTCAACTCGTGCCTAACTAGTGAAAATAATTGTGTTTGTTATCTTTAAAAAATATTTCTACGTATAAACTGTATATTTGTTTGTAGAACATTATGTAAATTCTATATTTTTATCTATAAAATTTGATCGTAATATAAACGCAATTCAATAACAAACGACATCAGTAAACGCATATTCATTGACGGGATACGCTTATGGGTGTGTTCGCCATATCCATTTTTCTTCGTTTACCAATTGTTGGTGATGCTCTAGAATCTTGGCTGGGATTGAATAACTGACAAAAATTTCAAAAAAACATTTAACTTGTTAGGAATATAAAATAATTTGTACTACACATTTAAAATAAGAATGTGCATAATCCCAAAACATCTATTATCAAAATAACTATTGATATTGGATAACCCTATTTGGTAAATACACACAGTATTCTATAGAATTTCTTTGACAATGACACCCGTTACCTAATTAATCTTAAGTACTGATATAAAGGAAGCGTTCAAGAGTTAATTAAAAATAGTTTGAATCTAGGGTCAAATAAGCATATGAATTAAGAAGAAAAGTGTTGAAAATAAATCTCTTTGTTATCAGTGAGGGATTCATCCCATTATCACGTCTAAGTTTGCCACTTAATATTCCTCAGTTTGACCAAAATTGAAAATTACCTTGGTTTCTGAAAAAAGGTATATATTACACAATAATACCTGCTCTTACTGTCCTTAAATGTTTCTAAGTATATGCGTTTGCGAAGCATAATTCTATTATGTTACTCTATCATTCTTGTCACATTTCAAATTGTTAGAATTATCATCGCTATTTATAAAAGCGATGTATGTCCAAAATCATTACAAATAGTACAGAAAAAGGAAAGTATTGCTTCTTTCAGTCCTTCAGCAAGAAATTGGTCCTATCTTTGTATAACTGTCTGATTCAATCATAAATTTACTCTGTTCAAAAAATCCTAGTTACTAAATGATATGCATAGTCTAGAGGATGTAGCGTTGCAAAAGGTAATAACGTGAAACAGCTGTCCACTAAGTATTCACAGCTGTGGAATTTGAGACTGCTCCTGGCAAAAAAATTCAACGTAAGAACGCTTATTGAATTTGTTTAGTATGAAAGATCTTCTGTTTAGGTAACCTGAGCATTTTTAATTCACGAAATAAGGAGATCCGCTGCCATAGGTGACTCGATAGCTCAATACAACTTGCTTCATAAGTAGCTATATTGACAGAATTTTAGACGTACCTCATCGTATTCCTTTTCTGATACAGACTTTGATGCACCGTGAGGGCGTTTCTAAAAATAAATGAGTAGTGGTTTTCATCATCAATAGAAACTCCGATACTTGCAAAAAGTAGGTGAAAGGTTGCTAGAAAAGCTTGTTTTTCGAAATAACCTTAGTCATTGCACTACGAAAGTTCATCTACTAGTGAAACCAGATGCTAAACATATTTTTCGTACGAAACGTCCTGTACCATATGCTACTCTTGAATTAGTGGATCAGGACTTTAGTTGTTTCCAACAAGCTGGTGTAATCCAACCAGTCAACTACTCTGCATGGGCCTCATCTATCGTAGGGAATAAGGCTGATGAAACTATGCGCTTATGTGCCGACTTATCAACCGGTTTAAACGCTGCGCCGGATGTATATTAGTATTCGTTTTCAGTTCCTGAAGACTTGCTGGTTAAGTGGTGGAACATGTTTTGTAAAAATAGACTTTTCTTATGTTTATCTGCAAGTGGAAGTAGATGATCATTGTAGAGAGCTTCTAACCATCAACACTCATCAAAGTTTATATCCTCGTACCACTTAGCGTCAATACCGCACCTACCATCCTTTAGTAAATAATGGATGCGATGTTAATAGGTATACCTCGAACAGCAGCTTATCATTGTTATGGGTTCAACTGTTAGCGGAATTTCTGATCGACTGAATCAAATTCTTAGCCGCAGGATGAAGTATGGTTTTTAACTACCTGAAGAAAAGTGTATCTTGTTCATGCATTCGATAAAATCTCTTTGTTTCTAGATAAATCAGAGAAGACGATTGCTTATCTTACTAGATTACTCAAATCAGCCGAGCGGAACTACTGCCAGATTGAAAAGAAAGACTTTTTAACCATTTTTGCTGTTAAACGATCCCATAAAATGCTCTACGGCCATGCGTTTACTTTACTGACAGACCATAAATTTCAATTTTTGGTTCAAAGAAAGAAATACTTTTCTATACGGCTAAAAGATCAAAGCACTGAGCGACAATACCTCTGAGCTATGACTTCAATATAAAGTATCAGTCAACAAGTACTATCGGTCAAACCGACGCTCTCCCTAGAGTAATTAGCGTTCAACACGCTGAACCAGAGGATATGATCACTGCCTCCATGGCAGTAGATCCAGAAGTACGGGATGTAGTAGTAAATGCCATTCAAAACACTCTAGTGTCGTCAAATGAAGACAAAAAAGAAACTCTTTAAGACCGAGTTCTGCAAGAAGATAATAAGTTCCACCTAGAAGGATGGCCCTTCAAGATAATCTCTAGAAAGCTTCGGCGCAGATAATCTCAATTATTGGTGACTGCCTTTTTTTCCCGAACGTTTCATAATCCCAAAAAGGCTGCAACCAGCAGTGCTTGAACATTTGCACGCAGGACATTCTGAAATAAACTGGAGGAAGGCACAAGCATGAAGTTATGTGTAATGGCGACATTTAGACACCCAACTGGAGCAGCTATCCTATTCATATATTAAATACGTATTAGCAAAGAAAAGCACGGCAGGAAACTGAGCTGCAATCATGGCCAATACCACAGTCATTGTGGCGGCGTATACAATCAGACTTCGCTGGTGTACTTCACGGACAAACTTTCATTTTGGTAGTTATTAAATACAGTAAGTGGTCGAAAATTTTTCTTATGAAACATCCAATTGCAAGCTGCACAGTTAGATAACAACGTCAACTATTCAGTCGTTTTTGAGTTCCAAAATTAATAGCTAGCTACCATGGAACACAGTTTACGTCTACTATCTTCTCAGAATTCTGTTGTAAGACTGAGTCAATCATGTCTGAACACCTCCATTCCCAACCCGATGGATATGTCGAACGCTTTGTTGGTACATTTAAAAATGCTCTACAAAAACCAAATGTAAGGACTACTGAAGAGATTTCAGAGAGGTCCCTGCTCATCTATCGTTTTACTTAAAACCCTCAGATAATTAACGGGGTCTTCAGCAAAAGCTTTAGTATGCAAAAAAATACGGACGCATTTCAATGCCAGTTCTTGGGTCTCAACCAAACAGATCGATGTAGAAGCAATTCATTCGATATCATGATACAAAGATAATTGTTCACTATATGGTCAAAAAGTACGTGCTACGTACTATCGTAGCACACATCCTAAATAGATAGCTGGTCAAATTGTGTTAAAGAAAGGAAATTTGGTTCAGTAAGTGTTGGCTGGCTAAGAATTTCGGGTGCGTCAAACTTACCAGCTAAGAGCAACTTCGATCTCCAGCAACGAGAATCAGCACAAAATGTCTCTTTGTGTTCTGCTGGACGCCTCTGAAATCAAAACCCCAGAAACGGACAGGCGTCTCTGGTGCCCCTTCTTTATTGCTTAGAAAGTGGATAAATCGAATTCACAGATGAGTCCTAACACCAAATCCTACGAATCTGCTCAAAAGAGAGGTGTTAGCGGAATATGGATAGGATTAAAGCATATTCTGTGCAAGATGGTGTTTGGAGCACACTGAATGGCAATTTTTTTAGCTAATTAGCGTTAGCGGATACTTGGAGAAGATCCTAGAATCTTGTGTATAATTATCAGTGCACTGACGTTCGTCTTATTGTAATTCCTACTTCCATTCAACCCTGTTTTTTGAAATATAATTATGTTCCTTTTCGACTATGTTCTTATTTGGGGACTTGTCTAGTGAAGTAAAGTATCCAGGAATACCAAGCAATAAGAGTAGCTGGGTCGCAATAGGATAGAATGTGAAAATCTCCTATGGAGGTAAGTAATAAAACTCAGAAGCGTAGAGAATTACACCCTGGCGTATGACGTGACATGTGCTGTGTTTAGACTTAGTTACCGACTCCTGAACAGGACGAAAAATGTATCTTCATTCTACTGTTAGTCAGAGTGTCAGTGTAAAGCTAAATCAGAGAATGAATGTTAGTTATATGGGGTGAGGTATTAAGACGTTCTTTACCATTTAGTGCTTCTTTTAAAATTAGGCTGCGCGTGAAAAAACGTGCACAAAATTTGTAGCGCTAATAATTTCGCTGTATTGGAAAGAGATCTTAAGTGATTGGCGATTACTAGTAACAGGATGAGAATGATAGAATTAGTCATAATCATGACACATCGACCGAATATTCTTGCAATCCAGTTGGCGTTACTAATTTAAACCATCAAACAGTTTTAATCCTCACATCACTGACTGAAACAATAAGTTATTTAACACATACTGCTGTCGACAATAAAATATTCTCGAACAGAAAAAGCGTGGATGGCTGTCACCATCAAGTATTATTTGGATTCAGTAGACGTTAAAATTCCTTTACCGACAAACGTTAAATATGGTTTAACACAATAAACTGACAATTACATTAAAGAAACGTTTTCTGATTAGATCTAGAAGGTTTGGTTGTAGTTCATGCTCACAATCAGATATATCTTCTTTTAGTGTTTAAATCTTTAGTGTTCCTTAAGCTAGTCAGTTTATTCTGATTCTCTGTGGAATAAAACTTACAGCAATAACTAAATCTTTTAACACAACAAATGCTTATGTTTTTAGAATTACAATAGTAGTATTTAAATGATACGATGCACTCTATGACATTCTGAAAACTGTTAATTATTCTATGCTAAAGTGTTGATTTGAAAGTGCACGTAGTCTAATAAAGTACATTGCAACAATGTAAAATAATTGCTACTCAAAATTTTATTGCTTATGAATAAAGTGACGAGACCTCAAATTACTAGTAAAATTTGGCATTTAAATTCTTGATTACTAAAATCCAGAGATGTCAGTAGTTTGGTTTACAGCTTATGAATATATTTTACCTGTCAAATACTTTCTGACAAATGCGATTTCGTGATATTTTGGTGAACCTAAGTAACATAAATATTTTTCTTTTACAACTGAACTCATTCAGTTCATCACACAGATTTTTTCAGTAAATACATTTCTATAAGATCATACTAGTTACTAGTTTTGTATCCATATACACTTCAGAAATTATAACTATTTTCAGTTGGTGTCTAAAAATTAAAAAGGTATACTCATAGCACACTCACCCCAGGTGTCCGTCGAATTGTAGTGGATTTTTGAGACATTAACATTTGAGGGGAAACCTAAATTTTTGAAAATATTGCTTGTTTATTATTCAAAATTTAGTTTATGTGATTTTAACGAAAACCAAATGATTGAATGAAAGTAATCGATAATGATTCAGGTTTGTTTGATTGAAAGATGTGTTCCATTACAAATTGACATAGGTTAGACAACCACCGAAAATTAGTCAAAACTGGTCAGTCGTTTCATTCCGACCTGGAATTCTGGTTGCATAGCATTAAGAAATCCTAAATTTGGATAAAAGTTGGCAAGTACACCTTGATTAAATGGTTGTTATGGAAGTGTTGTATTAAGTATTAGAACACACAAACAATACATATTGTTGTGTTATTTCATTTCAAAAAACTATGCATGGTCTATCTTGGTTACAAAATTGACTCTCAAAATGCCCATTTAACGAAGTATTACTTACCACTGATGTTTTATCATGCAAACTAATGCGAGAGAAGAAACGTGGACACACAATATTTTCTAGATATTCTTTTTCAACAAGCTTTTCACCTCTGAAATAAAGCAAATAAACATTAATCAACTACAGTGATCATTACTGTTTAACTCAAGAACTATTTTGATATATCCGTATTTGAAGTTTCTGTGTGGTTTACTTAGTAATCCAATTTTCTGACTACTTAATTTCACCATGTATTTATTATTTTGATCTGATAGCTGCTGACATATAATGATGATATTCTAGAATGAAGAACAGGTCTCATGAACTTGGTAATAAATAAAAATATAATTCCAATATTTCGTATTACAGTATACCACATACTTTTCTCTTCAGAAACCATACATTTTAACTATCTAAAAATTCCCATCATATTAAAAGACTAATATATGAACGAAAAATATTCTTCTCAATAAATTCTCTTCGAATTCTTCAATTATATTGAGAATAATAGTTCAAAAATTGGCCAGGTCTAAGGCAAAATACATTGTAGAAAAGTATGGCATGTGAAATAAAATTGTTAATGCTGAGGTGACTAATATTCAATGTTAACTTGAATAAGCTTACACGTTAAATGAAATTGTGAGATTAATGATCAGAATAAATATGGGTCAGATAGGAATAACATTCAGCGACCGGCTTTTTTTTAATTTTTTGTTTGATAAATTTTTTTTCACCCCTTTAAAAAAGTTTTTTTCATCCCATTTTCCAAAATTTTTCACCACGTTTCGTCCAATTAAATTGCTAGTTTTAAGTTCGTTATAATTGGTTAGTTATGTCTTGAAAGTGTTATAAAATGTCAGCACTCGTCGAAAAAGTACATTTTCATCATCATAATGGAGGAGAGTGACGTGCCATGTACAAGAGCTGTTGTTTCTCACGTTGTCACAGAAACGGAGGATGTATTTTTGACTACATTGTTTCTCGTTGCGTTCCAACCAGTTGAAGCGTTAAAGTCGGCTATCAGAACTTATGAAAGATCTACGTACTGTCATTATGTGGTGAGAGATTCTCATTTGGACAGAGATCAGAAATCGTATATTAAATTTGTATGTTGGAGAACTGGCCGTAGAAGATCTAGCGGTTCGTCACAGCCGATTAGACGGAGGAGGTAAATTGATTAGTGTTATTACATTTTTTTCACGAAGGACTTCCATGAACACTCACTGTCCGGTCTTCATCTTTTGTAAGTTTATAGAAGGTTACTGGACTGTTGTACGTGGGAATGTGCGTCACAATCACGAGTGCAATTCCCTGAGGTACGACAGTAATTCTTGGGTGCGCAGGTTAACGGAGGCTGAGTTTGAAACCGTGCGACCGCTCCTTATATCTGGGACAGCAGCATTCGATATTAAGCACTTTGCTTACCATTCTTATGGAAAGTGTTTGAATGCTCAAGATATATTTAATATGCGGTACAAAGTGTTCTCACACGCCAACCTTCCTGGTAAACAATCTGACTATTTATAATGTAAACGATAGGTGATTACGCCAAATTAAAAGCTCACATAATGTCCTTAGGTGGGCTTTGCGATTACGAATTAGACGAAGAAAATTGTCTATCGTATTTTTTCTTCACCACTGCTGATCAAATGAATTTGGCCGCTCATTTTTAGATGTTGTTGGTTTCGACGGGACGTACAAAACAAATAACGAGAACGTATATTTATATCAGGTAGTAGCCCTTGATATGAATTTTATGGCAATACCTTTTTGTATTGCATTTATAAGTCGCGAAACATCGACTTTGATTTCTCGATTCCTGTCGCTCTTTCAACGGGTCAACAAACAATCGACAGGTGGTAGGCATTGTGACAGATGATTCACCACTACGACGGTAATGTGGATTTGGATGAAACGTTCAGTAACGACGAGGAGGAAGTAGTTTCTATTAACTCTGAAGAGTTCACGGAACGGGACATGGAATATGAAGAACAGCATTACTACAACCGTTTGTGTGATATATGTCATCTTACACAGCCTCCATATGAAACTGGCGATGCAGCTGCATGGGTTTTTTGTCCTTGCGAAGCAATGTTTCATCGGTTTTGTGCTTACGACCCATCACCAAACGTACGTGCAGTTAACTGTCCGATGTGTGGCGCCATAACCAACTCATAGTTACACCCTTACACAGCTACATCTGCATTAATAAGAGAACGAGTAAAGGCCCTATTCAGGGCCACCCACAATTTTATTTAAATTATTTCGTTTCCATCTCTTGTTTCTATGGCAAAGGTCAAATGATGAAACACTTAATAATGCTAAATGAATTTACATATTCATTTGAGATTAATAATCAAAATGCGATTATCGTTCATGTATTCGTAAACGTTTTTATAAGGTTTATGAGATATAAAAGTTTAGAAATCTTATAGAACAATATCTCATCTAATGAACACTAATCTAATAATTTTAGATTTAAAATAATGTGATTACCGTTCATGTAATAGTAACACAATTGTAATCTATTTATAATAATAATAGTACATTTTAGTAAATTTTAATAGGAATATTTCAACTCCTGGAGCCCCTCCGTGGGCTACTGCCGGTCCCAAGCCCGGATAAAGGAGGAGGGTTGGGCATGGGGTTAGCGACCCCATCCCGTAGAAAACTAACTCGCTAAAAAACGCTAACCAGAAAAAATTATTCAAACCATTTAAACTCTGCCCTGGGAGTCAGAAGGTCTTCGTTTAGAAGAATTATGACGCCTCATGATGAAAGCCGAGTTTCTTCGGAAGTCACGAGGCCGATGCCCCTTCTGACGACCAGAGCAACCATTTATTTAGGTACATGGAATGCTCGCACAATGTGGGAGACTGGGAGAGTTTTCAAAATTGCTGCAGAAATGAGGAGATACAATTTGGAGGTGCTTGGGATCAGTGAAACACAATGGACGCAAGTTGGACAACAACGACTAGCTTCAGGGGAGCTGCTGTTATACTCCGGACATGAACAAGAAAATGCTCCACATACATAAGGAGTTGCATTGATGCTGTCCAAACAAGCACAAAATGCACTTATAGGATGGGAATCTCATGGACCAAGGATCATCAAAGCCTCCTTCAAAACAAAGAAAACGGGGATTACAATGAACGTCATCCAATGCTACGCGCCTACCAATGACTACAATGAAGACGTTAAAGATCAATTCTACGATAGGCTGCAGTCAATCGTCGAGAAGTGCTCAACAAAAGACCTGACTTTTCTGATGGGAGACTTAAATGCCAAGGTTGGAATTGATAACACCGGATATGAAGAGATCATGGGACGACACGGACTGGGAGAAAGGAACGAAAATGGTGAGAGATTTGCAAATCTATGTGCCTTCAATAAACTGGTCATAGGCGGGACTATATTCCCACATAAACGCATCCACAAAACCACATGGACTTCACCGGATCACAGCACACAGAATCAAATCGACCATATCTGCATCAACAAAAAGTTCAGGAGGACGATGGAGGACGTGAGAACAAAGAGAGGAGCTGATATAGCATCAGATCACCACTTGCTGGTCGCCAAGATGAAATTGAAACTCAAGAGGCACTGGACAACGGGGAGGACAATATCACAAAAATTTAATATGGCTCTTCTTCGGGATACTGACAAACTCAACAAATTTAAGATAACCCTCAGCAATAAGTTCCAAGCCTTTCATGATCTACTCAATGGAGAAGGAACTACTATGGAGAGCAACTGGAAAGAGATAAAAGAGGCAATCACTTCAACATGTCATGAGGTTCTGGGCCAAAAGAAGCACCATCACAAGGATTGGATCACGGTCGATACACTGAATAAGATTCAAGAAAGGAGGAACAAGAAAGCAGCAATCAATACCAGTCGAACAAGAGCAGAAAAAGCCAAGGCACAAGCTGAATACACAGAAGTAAACAAGCAAGTGAAAAGGAGCATCAGAACTGACAAACGTAAATATGTGGAAGATTTGGCATTGACGGCGGAAAAGGCTGCCAGAGAAGGAAACATGAGACAACTGTATGACACAACAAAGAAACTCTCTGGAAATCACCGTAAACCAGAACGACCAGTGAAAAACAAGGAAGGCAAGATAATCACCAACATTGAAGAACAACGAAACAGATGGGTAGAACACTTCAAAGAACTCTTGAATCGACCAGCCCCACTGAACCCACCCAACATCGAAGCAGCACTCACGGACCTCCCAATTGATGTTGGCGCACCAACAATTGAAGAGATCAGCATGGCTATCAGACAAATCAAGTGTGGCAAAGCAGCAGGACCAGACAAAATTCTAGCAGAGGCACTGACAGCAGACTTGGTGGTAACTGCAAGGATACTCCACATTCTCTTCAATAAGACTTGGGATGAGGAACAGGTACCAAAAGACTGGAAAGAAGGACTTCTAGTCAAAATACCAAAGAAAGGCGATCTCAGCAACTGTGACAACTACAGGGGAATCACTCTTCTTTCAATACCAGGAAAAGTCTTCAACAGGGTATTGTTAAACAGGATGAAGGACTCTGTAGACGCACAACTTCGAGACCAACAGGCAGGATTCCGTAAGGATAGATCGTGCACAGACCAAATCGCAACTCTACGGATCATTGTGGAACAATCAATTGAATGGAATTCATCACTCTGTATCAACTTCATCGACTACGAAAAAGCATTTGATAGCGTGGACAGAACAACCCTATGGAAGCTTCTTCGACACTACGGCGTGCCTCAGAAGATAGTCAATATCATACAGAATTCCTATGATGGATTAAACTGCAAAATCGTGCATGGAGGACAGTTGACAAAGTCGTTCGAAGTAAAGACCGGTGTCAGGTAAGGTTGCTTACTCTCACCCTTTCTCTTTCTCCTGGTGATCATGAAGACATCAACATCTGAAGGGAAGCACGGGATACAGTGGATAGCTAGGATGCAATTGGATGATCTAGACTTCGCAGATGATCTGGCTCTTCTATCGCATACGCAACAACAAATGCAGGAGAAGACAACCAGTGTAGCTGCAGCCTCAGCAGCAGTAGGTCTCAATATACACAAAGGGAAAAGCAAGATTCTTCGATACAACACAGCATGTACCAATCCAACCACAATTGAAGGACAAGATTTGGAAGATGTAAAAACCTTTACATATTTGGGCATTATCATCGATGAACACCGTGGATCTGATGCAGATGTGAAGGCACGGATTGGCAAAGAAAGAGCAGCATATTTACAACTGAAGAATACCTGGAAATCAAAACAATTGCCAACCAACACTAAAGTCAGAATTTTCAATACAAATGTCAAGACAGTTCTACTTTATGGGGCGGAAACCTGGAAAACTACGAAATCCATCATCCAAAAGATACAGGTGTTTATTAACAGTTGTCTACGCAAAATATTTCGGATCCGTTGGCCGGACACTATTAGCAACAACCTACTGTGGGAGAGAACAAATCAGATCCCAGTGGAGGAAGAAATCAGGAAGAAGCGCTGGAAGTGGATAGGACACACATTGAGGAAAGCACCGAACTGCGTCAGAAGACAAGCCCTCATATGGAATCCTCAAGGTCGAAGGAGGAGAGGAAGACCAAAGAATACATTACGCCGGGAAGTGGAGATAGATATGAGAAAAATGAACAAGAGTTGGATGGAACTAGAAAACAAGGCCCAGGACAGAGTGGGTTGGAGAATGCTGGTCGGCGGCCTATGCTCCATTGGGAGTAACAGGCGTAAGTAAGTAAGTAATAGGAATATTTCAATATAGCGAACATTGTCATTTGGTCGTAAGGTCAATGAATAGAGGATTTCATATATAAGTGAATATAATAATAAGATTATTAATGTGATGAAAGGCCATATAGGTGTAAAAAGAAATAAACATGTTTACCGTTTCATGATTACAAAAATAAGAATATTATATTCTTGTTTTATATTAAAAGTACCGGAAACCAGAACTATGCGTACATAGAAGTACGTCTTATCGTTGCATTGGTACATTTACTTATTACAATGAAATTAAACGTCATTATACCTAAATGTTAATGTATACTGTTGACCTAATTTATGTTCATCTGTATAATGCAAATAGAAATTATTTTCGTCATACGACGTAGGCTTATTCATTTACACTTAATACAACCAATATTTCAAATGCTTGTTAAAAAGGGCTTATATTCATAATGTACAGATATTTCAGCTTTCATATTACGAAGAACAATATTCACACATGACGAAAATGTACATACAGTTCTTTATTATTCCTCGATTATGTTTCAAAAAATTAGTTGATGATTATCAAATATCATTCCATACCTTATAAATAAGTAACGTTTGCAATGTCGTTGACATATGACATTTACTAACTCATGTAAACATTTTGCTAGACTGAACACTTATAAAAAATGGGCTATTGAAAGAACGTGAAAAATACCTAACGCGCACTTCACAAGCCCAATAACAAAATGACATGACTGCTTAAACACACAAGTAGGCATTTTCATTATTATTTTAAAGGCTGAACTACAAAGAATGTACAGGTAAAAGCAATTAAAGCTTTTAATGATTTAGCAAAATAACCCTATTGAAATCTAACGTTTTATTAACGAAACCGTTTATAAAGTGAAAGTAAACAACTATTTTGTATTAAGAATTACTATTTAATAAATAACCCAATCATAATTACTAATTGCCTCTTTCTCAGAAATTATTACTTCTTTGAGATAACGTAAAAGTCGCTTCATAAACCGAAGGTTTACGAATCGTTCCAGTGTTTTATACACGCCCTAATCAGTATTTTATCATTACGGTCTATTGATATGTGGATTTTTTTTTAAATTAACATATCATGTGTTAAAAAAGAAGTTATGGATACAGGTGATAATTTCTTTATTAGTTGGGTATTAAACATTTGACAACCGACCTAATTCAGTAATCACTATTATCAAATATTCAAACCGGTTTTCATTTCTTTTTCTAAATACTTCCTTTTAATGAGATACATTTAATTAATCGTGTCAAGATAACTAACAACTTCAATTCAAGTTCTACTTGTTCGAATAACAAAAATATATCCCAATACACATTCACTAACAGTAGCATTGTACGGTAGTGAATTTAAATTGGGGTATTTTTCTTCAAAAGTCCACATTCTTTTCAAGACCAATATTACACAAAAACAATTATTCATTATTATTACATATCAAACGTAAAAATGCAAATTCTGACATCCAATCAAAGCACTTGATGCTATTTCGATTTCAACTAATCAGATTGCTAAGATGAACAGTTTACGACCAATTACAAAATTATTAAAGGTGACAAAATTTTTGTTCATTTTCAACTGAGTACACACTTGCAAAACAAATACACCAATAACCGATCAATAAATTTATCTTTCACACCCTACAATTTCTAAGAAATGGGTGGTAGGGAACCATAATAGCCGTCAACCGTCAGATAGGGTGAGAGAAATAATAATTTAATAACAAATCCGACCAAATGTTTAGTGGATAAATCATACATTTACTTATCCGATTTTATAGGTACTCCTAATATGTTGCATATCTGATGAGCAATGTAGGGGATATTTTCAAGTGTCATCCAAACTCCGAAAAAATCTTAACGTTTGGTTTTTATATGAGCTTAACATTAAGAAAACGTCTTACCTTCGCGGTCCTGCTCCTTTAATAACTTGCTCTTTGATTAAACGATTAAATAATCCACGAGCCACGGTATACTCTACTCCAAGACTTCTAGCTATAAAAGCTGGTGAGACTGAATCTTCGTTGAGACACAGTGCTAATACACGTCGAAAGAGACAAATGGCCTATAAACGTTTCAAAATTACTTACGGTTTTTGCACAAACTTTACATATTTATGGAAATAAATCTGCACTTACCATTATCTTATCAATTTACTTAAGTTATTTGTGATTTTAGCACTTAAGAACCTGTGAAAAACTTCATTTCTAGTTATATACCACTTTCTAAGTCTAAAACAAGAAGTTAAACAAATCTACACAGAATTAAGCTCAGATGTCTTGTTGTAAGAGATGAAAAATTGTACCACTGGATACTAATGCACTTCCTAAAACGTTGAATAGAAGTCCACATTTCAGCAGTAAAACTGAACTTGTTATGAATGCAGTTTGTAATTCTGAAGTATTGTTTAGGTTTGCCAAAAAGAGAAAGGTTTATTTTACTTCATTGAATTCCCTTTGTATTTATAATCACATACTCATTAGAAGAAAAATTAATAAGTATCCTTTTTTCATCTACGGTACAGTTATAGAAGTTGGAATAACTTAATTTTTCTAAATTACCATTTCTATTTATATCAACGCATTAGTGACTGTTATCTTTAACTCTCATCAACACAATCAATAACTCAGCAACGTGTATTTACTTCAGAATGGAGATTACTAAATGTTCACTATTTTATAGCGTATACCTTACATCGGACCTAAAATATAAAACAAAACATTCAAACTATGTATTAAAGTGTTAGATCTATTCACTTTTTGAAATTTTGTAGATAAATATAAGATTACCTAAACAGTGTTATTGAATCCATATTATAACCAATGAGAGTTAATTTTAAAGTTCAGTGAAAAATTAGATAAAGGTAAAAACAAATGTTCACAAATCAATCTCAGAAGATTTAGTCTAATTGATAGTTAATTATGTGGTTCTTATACCAATAAATTTTCCCATCCACTAGATTTTACTCGTCAGATTAATAGTTCGCTTAAATGCCTTTTATGGGGAACTCAATGGCTATAAACAAACGATAAGATGAATAAAGTTTGCATCAAAAATTTACTAATTGGGATTCTAGTTGATCACAGAAAAATATAGTTTTCTGGCTAAAACTGTCAGATCTTCAGTTGACTGACTTTAACAGTCCCAATATTTCTTTTCACAGCAAATTAGGATATCTAGCGACATTTATTGATTAGTTTGAATGTATATGTTTATCTCAATCCACTCAAGACGACATTCATAAATACGTTAATGGTTTCTCGCTAAAATTTAAGACAATAATTAATCCTCTAACATTCATCTATGTGTTTCCCAAAGATAAATCAAATCTATATTGATCAAACTGAGATGTATATAAAATCCAGGTGTAAATACACAAAGACTAAGTATTATTAAAAATTTTACAAATGAGTAATAACAAGACATGTGTTTAGACAGAGAATAGAGGATACTATAACTGATTTATTAAGACTCATCTCAAATGGATATACTACATTGACTATTATTTTATTAATTGAAAAATAAAGAAATAAACTTTTATAGTCTTAGGTATATCTGTTGTGATTTTATTCACTCACAAATCCATCTGCCTATCCATTGTGTCACTGAGAAGCTTCAAAATAAGAGGTCTAAGTTAGTTAATGTTCTCTCTGAAATTTGTCACCAATGTTTTCCAAGAAAGCTCGGTCACTATTTTGAAAATTTATGAAAAGTCAGTATTTTTCTACAAAACATCCAATTTCAGTAAAACATTTCGGATATTGATGTCAATCATTTTAAAGTGTTACAAATGTGCGATGAATCATTTGAAATGTTCCAGAAAGACTAAATGAACACTCTTTTCAAGCCATTATTAAAGATAAATAAATACTTCTTATGAGCAAAACAAAATTTGTCACTTAATATAGAGAGTCGGCTATATTGTAAAAATACGATTGCCGATAACAAAAGAGAATTTTTATTTGTCCTTATTTGATGATGGATTTTAGTGTGATAAAATCCAATGATAAATTACACTTTTGTAACTGAATATTGATGGTGCTGTTAACGAATTACTAAACTGTTTCCCTTGGATAAGAGAATAATATTAAATAAACGAACTTTTACATCTTAGTTCATTCTCTAATTATTATTGTCAGCTTTTGGAAGTAATAGGTTTACTGTTTATAGATCTACTGTTAAAATAAATGATCATTCTAGCCAAAACTTTCTACTGGCCACTTTGAAAATAACCAACTAAAAGCAGACTAATCAGTTTAACAAACAACCTTTCTAGCTTCAACACCCAAGTTCTGAATAGTTTCATCTGTGATTCCTCCGGTTTGAAGAAGTTCAGGCTAAATGATTCAACAAAAATAATTTCAAAGTTAAAATAATTTGAACTATACTATTTTTATCATATATATATAGAAAATAGATTTTACACACGTTTAAAATCATAGAAATCATTCATATGAGGGATTTACGTGTGATCAATTAATAATATTTGCAGTTTTAAAGTATATACCTTTGACGATCGTCGAATATTCACCAATCGACAATGAAATAGTTTTATTTTAAATTCATTTCAAATACAATCACTTGGTATCCTAAGTACATAAATTCAAGTATGAATAATTTTGAAACACTGTAAGCTAGATTTTTTTTAACTAATTCGTGTATGATTTATTAATAATACTGTTGTTAATGGTGTTTAGCTTAAGTTTAAAGTATATATAAACCACAAACATACAAAGATGTTAAGTAACTATCAAGCAGTATGTTCTGTAATATATCTTTTATTTTAATGAACGTATTTCTGCACGATCATGTCCAGTGAAATAGTAGTATTTTTTAGTATGAGCAGAGAGTAAAACTACAGTTAGAGCATAAAAAACACACATGAAATAAATGACTGTACTGAAGTAAAATCTCGATATTTTTATCTTAATTATACCTATATCTTTATTACAGAATATTTGGATTCAACAACAGGATAATTTAAACCCTTTCTAATGATGATATAAATATAATGCACGTTGAACAACTGAATGCCAACTGGATACAGTAGCTCAGTGTATAACACGTTTGCCTTTTAAAACTAACGTTCCGGGTTCGAGTCTCTATGTGAACATCAACGAGTCCTGGATAGGATAAAATGCACGTTCAGGATTCCACTTCAAGCAAAACATTTCTCAGTACAATTGATCCTAATAGAAATTAAGGAACAGTTATTAGCTGCATTTTCAAAACATCTATTAGTTTATTTAAAGTATCACCATTTTCGCAGGCTTGTAACAACTTTGTATAGCTTTCATCTGCTAATGAAAAGCTCATAGCATAGTACGTTACGCCATCTTTTTAAAATATTTAACTTATCATTTATTTTACATCTGAATTTACAATTCCAGTACTAAATTTTCACACTGAAAACAACATCTTAAAAATTGGATTCGGTGTTTTAACACTTTCAACTAATGTGGAAAACAAACGGTTAGAATTCTTTCTTTATAATTAGATATTTTAAACTGAACTGAATAAAAATGATTGTATATTAGTTAGATGAACATTCAGGTAATTCAACTATATCCATAATTTTTCCTGAAGTAGACCATGTACTCTGTATATTTTAGAGGTAAAACTAGTTAGCTATAAATGTTTTTTAAGTGTAGAAAAATTCAAAAGTTGCTTCTTTTCACTCAAGAAAGTCAGGTGAGTTGTAACTCAAGACAAATTATACAGGTACGTTTATTTGTTCAAACTTACCACTTTCTTACTGAGTGCAGACTGTGTCATAAAAATATTAATCGTATCAACAAACGTTTGCAAAGCGAATAAAAATGGTTTCATTTATTTAAAAAAAATTAATAAGTATTACCTTCAATTTAGCGCAGACCTCACAAACATGTGATGCAGGAACGTCTCCTTCTTGCAGAATTCGAAAGCAAACAGCATGCTGCCATTTATCACATCCATCACATAAAATCATCACACCATCGTCCTAAAGAAATCAAAATTTTTTTCGTTTATAGAAATTTCGTTTTAATGTATTATAACAGGACAAAATGTAACCAAATAAGTTGTATACATGTATATTGACCACATACTTAGAAAAACTGTAGTTATTACCGTCCAATATTCTTTTAGTAAATTAAACAGTTGATCAAACTTCACTATAATTAAACACTGAAATTTCTCCAAATGTACTGTAACTAAAAAGCTATAATAACAATCCTAATTTTTGATAAACACAAAATCATTTTCAAGCTTAAATAATAATGTTTTAATCCTAACCATTTTTTATGAACCCTTTACAATAAAATTTGCTTAAGTGTAAAGTCACTTACTGTTTTACGATAAAACCTATAACTATACATTTCTAATTATTTTCGTCATTCAGGGAACTTCCACAATCAGTCACATTTCTGTCTCATACAAATCGAATATGCTAATCAACTTTTGTAGTGGTAAAAACATTCTATCAGTCACGTTACCATGTATCGGTTGGCATAATTACTAATCTTTAAGAATACTAAATCACAAAATATCGAAAAGCGATCGCACTTCACTGCCATTTATAAAAATGAAATTTTATAAAAAAAAACCTGATTCAACTGAGTACTCTTTGGGTTATCAAACTAAACGAAGTTTAATTCAGTATGAATTACAATATGTGCTTATCTTTACGAAACCAAAACAATCTAAATCCATTTGTTTGTTCTGGTGAAACAAATAAAAAACAAAATGGTAATACCAAGCGTACAAGTTGTAATCCAATTCATAATTTCTGTGCATTTCTAGGTTTTTAACAATTGTTATATTTAGTGGAATAACATTCACTATTTTCGTTTTCAGTTAAGATTTGTATAAAATTAAATCCATAAACCTGTGTATTTTAAGTGGATTGGCAAAATGTTTCAGCACATACTTCAAAATGTCACAACACTGTGCAGTCAATTACTGCTACGAACGGCAACCTACTCTGAATAACTTGCTTGAAAAACATTATTGGTAATAAGTTACTTAAATTTTTATCTTTATGCTAAACTGATCAGTTTTCTTAACCAGAAGACTGTACACGATGCAACCCAAGATATAAAATTTCAAATAAGCTTTGATCAGTATTATTCATCAATTGTACATTTAGTGATACAGTGAAAATTTATTTACAACTTAAGTAGTGGTTTCCTCAGTTGTACGAAGAAAAGTCGGACATCAAAGCGTATTTCAAATAATTAAAGTTTATCACTTCACAAGAGATAACGAAGTAATATTTCAATCTTTTTCTCTTAAATAAAACCAATTTTGGCCATAGAAAAAACACTTGACTATTACACGTAACCAGTTAGAGTGACGATTATACTTATAAGTGTATGTAGATCACTTGGGATTTTCTGTATGACACTTAGACTACTGAAACAAAATGTACGAGGGAAGAAATGTGACTTAAATTCTATTAAAGCAAAGTTAATGATTACACACTTCGAAGTGATCACAAATATTACTACTGACAAACTAGCAAATATAAATTTGCCCAAATTGCTACAATTACCACCAATATAGGAGGAATGTACTAGCAAGATACAAATCGGATAGATCGGAGTATTAAGGTTAGTAGTGGAAAATAGCAAAGAAATTCGGTCTGAAAATGGTGAGTATAATCGAGAGATGAGAAATACAAAGTGCTATTACAACTCAATACTTAGTGGAAAAGGGAGATTGGATTCAACTGAACCCCTACAAATAAATTTTAGTCATGTCGCTTAAGCTCTTTAGCCATAGAATCCAGTGTTCTCTCGGACTCCAATCAGAAATAAGTTCAGAAAGCTCAATTGTACTAACTTTTTCTTAACATTTTGTTTGAGGTTGTTATAAGAGTGTTACTTTTATGGTTCTATGGATATGATAGGCTAGCACGTGATGGACACATTTTAATATTGCTCTGTGTCAATCTTATTCTTTCATAAATATATAACTGACATACTGATCTTCTAACTCACCTCTCTAGGGACTTCCTGTTACAATTTTTCTGTGCCCTGTAGTTCATACACAATTTAAAATCGCTCAAAAGCGTTATCAGAGTCCAGATATGTGCTCCAGATATAATGACACCTATTCATCGAATATCTTGATGGATGAAAGACAAGGATGTGATCCGAATGTAGTTTAGTCGATTTTTTCAACCACTAGGTCAGATAATTTCTGATTTTATAATTGAGATTGATCCCCTTTAACTGCGAACAAGTTTCTCAGGATACTTGCAAAAGATGATGTCGACCTTTTTGAAAGCGAGGCTGAAAGCCATACTTTGACTTAACCTGCTTATTTGAACGTTAAAACCATCCGCTGCACTTAATAAATGAGAGAGTCTAGCTGTCTGAAGGATATCTGAAAGCTGTAGGTGGAGTTATTCATTTACTTTACCCAAACGATGTTTTCCCCTTGACTTCTGAAGTCTTATTGATTACTTTAAGAAGAGAGAAATGGCGATCATTGAATGGAATCCAGTTAAAAAAACCTGCACTGCTTTTGAACTAAATGATACACATACACCAGTAAATTAATAAACATAGCAGTTAAGTATTTACAAAGGCGATGGTCGAACCCCATTGGTATCCCACGTTATGTAGATGAAGTCATGTCAATAAGCAAACTTTAAGCTAAGTGAAAGATTTGAAGACACGGATTCTCATTGACAAAGGATAATGAAATCTTAGCTGATGAACGCTTTTGTTCAATTCAACATTAAAAGTTTCGAATTGCGGTTTGAGACGCAATGTTAGACGGAGTAACAACACTTTGTAGACTTGATTAGATCACAGTAGAAACAAATGCGGAGAAAAATCAAACCAGATGAGGAGGGTTAGCAACATAAATACTAGAGGTATCATGAAACGATTAAATGAATTTCATAGTGACAAGAGTTTTTGGAAACGAAAGGTCAATTAACACTTGGTTGTAAAAACTATAATTAGATTTGAAATGGCAAATATTTTGTGATTCATAAAAACAAAATTGTGCATAAATAATCACGTACTGAATTTCAGGATTTATACGAGAATATTAACACTGGTCGATAAATATGTTCACATTAAAATTCCATCGAAGTGGATAGAACGTTTTTGGTGTTACTTCAGCTAGACGTTTATCGTAACTTTTGACTTTTAGATTTGATTATTGTTCACTTACCTTATTTACACCACATGGGCAGCGAGCCTCGTAACTTTCTGATTCATTTTCATCGGATCTTAGTGTCTGTTGTTGGAATGATAAAGTGAGATCATCGTTTTCATTCACTTTACTCGCGTTCAGTGAACCTAACTGTAAAAACAAGGGAAATATAGACTAATATACTCACAGTTTATTTGTACAGTGTATTTTTCCTTAGAAGCTGGTCTACCATTTTATGTAATATTTGCGGTTTTTTTGCGTTTCATCAAAGACATCCGTCCCAGTCTTCATTCTTTGAATAAATTAACAATGTTTAACTTAGTTGTTGTTAAAAACTTCTTTTTAAATGTTTGCTAACTTATATCGTTAGTTTAATGCTACTAGATCAATTCAAAAACAGGATTCCTTTGATGTCCTTCCCTGGTCACTTTTAGACGAATGAACTCTATTTAAACTCATTTATTAATTTAAAATGACAAGTATTTTAACCAGTATGAAGTAAAACCAACAAATTACATACATTTAGCTGGACAATAGGAGAACAAAGGCCCAGTTTGTACAGTTTACCTGTAAATGGGCATGAATCAAAAGTAGCATTAAAATCAAACTTCAATGATTTAAGTCCTTGCAAATTAAAGTAAATGTACGATATACACTAGTTTACCAATTTTCAAATGATAAGTACGTTGAAATAATTTATAACTATTTTTCAGGTAATTAGTTTAAAATTTGGACTCACAGTTGTGCTGTCAGTTTGTTTGCAGTAATTTATCCACAAACTATCGTAATTTTTTATTGACCTTTTTCAAAGTCTTCATTTTGAACCGATAAATCTTGTTATATTGTATTCCTATTTCAATCATTTCTATCCAATTATTCAAAGGTTCCAATTTATTGTCATACGGTTTAAAAGTGAACAGTTCATTTGGACGTTTAAAATGTACGAATCGTTTGAAATAAAACAAGTTTGTGTAGGAACAACTGTTTGAGTCTACTGTGCCACGTTATTACTTCATCATCTATTTATAATAATTATGATGTCATCTAAAAACTGCTTAGTAAATTTCGTAGTTCATCAGATTTTCTGATTATTCTTGATCAAATAAACTGACTACAGTTTACACACATAAATAGTTGCGATTCAGATCTTGAGTTGTACCGTCAAATTTCTAAATTATTTTAATAGCTAAATGCCAACAAAATGCTCCTAGTAGTTTGTTTACAATCAAGCTTCAAATTCTAAACTAAACTTGGACGACTATAACAAAAAGAAACCCAAATCTCATTATTAATAAAACAAAGTTCCGTTGAATTGTTTAATTCATAATACGAATACTGAGTAAAATGATAAAGCTAACCGAAAGTTCATGAATGCTCTCATCTTCTTGTGTTGATTTAGTAGATTTTACAGATCCGGCTAATAATCGTCGACTAGTTTGTATGTGCATTTTGATGCTACGACAACTTCTCTTTATAAAATAACACATACCTGTGGTGAGCCTGGTAAGATAATATTAGTTCAGTAAAATGTGCTAACATACAGTTTTCACACTACCGAGCCGTATATTAATGTTATCTTCTTCAAAGTTGAAACTGACATCATCTGCACGCTTGAATCCAGGAGGAACGTAACTCTCTGGTGTAACTAAAATCAAAGCATAGATTACACGCATAGTGATAATTAATTTTGTGATTCAGTTATTTACTTTGCTCACTGTTTATTTATTTATTACTTTATTAACAAGTAAACATGTCCTTTAGAATTAGAAACTTAAACTTTCCAAAATCCATCACTCCACCAAATGATCTTAGATCAAAATTCATCTCATGAATGCTTACTGCTTTCTCAAAATGAAAATCCGATTCCATTTTTGAGAGTGTTACATAACTATCTGGAATTCTTTTATTTTTCATTGACTGCTTGTAGCTAGGTGAATACCTTAAAAAATCTTTCGTATAAAAATGACGGTTTATTTTGTTTATGATTAAAGTTAATTTTGGCAATTGGCCACTTGTCTTTTCATGCAATTAAGATTTTAGGCTTAATTTTATTACTCCAACTTATAATTAGTTGTTTGAAAATTGGTTACTTTTTTATCAGTCACCGGTTATGTCATTACAACTTTACAAACAATGGCCTAAGGTTACTTGGTGTTTTACTGTGCCAAACAGCAACACACAAACATGCTACATCCAGTTTATTTGTTTGCAGAAGAAAACTAAACAAAGATACTAGTTGCTTTAAGATAAATTTTAATCATTGACGCTTACGGACACATGTTCCAGCTGAATTGATAAAATGGCTTTAGATAAGTATATAACCACTAAAGGATGACTGTAATGGAGTTAAAAATAATCTGAAATAGGCATGTACTCCGCTCCCAGTTTCATTTTCAAAACTTTGTGCTCAAACTAATTAAGATAGGGTTAATTTCCTGAGCTATTTTATTCATGAAGCCGTATCTATATGAGCTAAAGACTTATTTTATCTCATCGACCGTATATGAAGAAAAAATACTAATTGCCTTTTGGAATGTAATAACTAGATTCATCAACAAGTACAGCAGTGCTCATCAGCGAAGCCTATACAAATTAAAAAGCAAATAGTGAATTACTGGAATCTAGAAAGAAATCGTTGTTGAGTGAGACTCCAGCTCCATATAAAGATGACTAATAATATTCGTAAACTTGAGTCTTTTGCTGGGACTGATACCTCATTTCGAATAGGAAAATACAAATGGAGGCGCACAGTTTGGCATATAAGCTACCAAATAACTTACTACTTCATATTTTCGTTTCTCATTTCGTGATTTATGAAATGTAAGTGATGAAATTTTGTGATTAACACTAGATACTTAAATATATTTTTTGGAAACGTTTTATTCTAGTCCGTTTTTATAAAAAACCCGATCACAGCTTTTTGAAATTCCGGCCTCCTTATTCCATCAAATTCATGGTGACCAACAAAACACTATATTTCTAATATTTGATATGCGAAACGCTATCAGTTTTTTGGAATAATAGTATAAAAACCATCTCCTTTTCAAAAAAATTACTCATGTAATTGTTACTACCGACATCACATGCACTAACAACATGGATTTTCTTAAAACTAATCAGTACATAACTTTTGAACTCATTGTTTCAGAATAAATAGAAAACAACGGGTTGAATGAGAAATATACTCATGAAAATAATCATTTAAATATTGGACATTTTACCCATATTGCTAAACATAAATGTAGAAAACGAACTCAATCAACACGTTCTTAAAGCACATTAACGAACTGATTAGGCCTCGTGTTACCAACTCAATTTTGAACCAATTTGACATAGCATATACTGTTATGCCGCGACTACAGAAATAATCCGCTTCACATACAACCGCCTTTGAAACTGTACATCATGGATGCGAAAGTAAACGCTTTTGTATGTTCCAGGCGTGAAACATGATACTACGGTCATAATGTGACGTAAACGGTAAGTTTTTGACAAGTGGCGGGTAGTATGACATTATATTCACAAATCTTTCCTTAGGTTTTTGATGGAATATTCAGTACTATGATTGAAAACTAACCAAAAATGACTTCTTCTAAAACATTTTTCTGACCTTTGCTTTTATACTGACTTAAACGGATTATCGCGCGTATATTTGTAAGAAAATTATTGCGTTTTTGATTATATGATGGAAACAACTACTTTCATCCCGTTTTTAGCAAACTGTGAATTAACAATATCTGATGAAAATATATTCACATCTATTTAGTATTTGTTTCTGAAACTAGGAAACTCAATATCACAATTAGTTTGTCATCTTTTTAATCATGAATTTTAATCGGTGTATTTGTTTTCGGAGAAAATAAATATAGAAGCTTAGTACTTTTTTATGTAATTAAGGTTGAAATTTCCAGTGAAAATTCTGGCATAGAATACGCCATTTTATGATTAAAATGGGTTCATCTGAAGCTACGAAGTCGAAAACGGTATTCTCGCATCATTTTAAATTTCAGACTACTGAGATTGAAGATCCACCCAATATTTTGAAATGAATAAATCTTGTAAGTAAACAAAAATAAAAGATGTCAGCAAGATATAAAATATCAACCTTGATAGTTAACGAGATTTTTTAACGAACCCGATTACCTTCGTCGTAATACTGCAGTTTCATCGTTATCATTAGTTCTGATGGTAGTTTAGATAATCTTTCTCCAGCAGTTTGAATATTTTTGAGTAGATTCAAAGTGGCATTCCGGGTTTCAACTTCAGAGCAGTTTGAGACCTCGCATATAGTACCGGATTCCCTTTTGTTTTCAGTTTTTAAGTCAAGGGATAGCTTCTCCTGGTCATAAGAAAGTCTGAAACAATACGACTCAATGATGTTATATTCACAAAAATTGCTGGGATGTAAATCTTTGTCCGACGAATAAAGCGCAATGGTAGCTGATTTAAGCTAGACAAAATTTTATTGTAATGCCTAAAAATACTTACAAAATGACGGTCAATGGCATCGAAACAACCCTTAAGCCAATAAACTACTTTTGAAGAAGCAGGTAAGATAGAGCTTTCTTTCAAAATCTTCAGCTCGATCCCTGAAATTTAGTAAGCTGGCGTTGTGTTATACCTTCTAGTTGTTTGTCATGAAAAGCGGATTCAGGAAAAATATCTCTGAAATACAAAACATAAGATACTGCGACCGCAAACAGTTTTTTCATAAAAACCAGGGACTGGAGTTCGACTCCTAGCTCATTAGGAAACATTTTTGACCACTATCAAAGAGATTATAAATAAGCCGAAGTTTACATTTCCAACATTCTGTTTAACTGCTATAGCTGTCGCCATTGTAGGTCCGGCGATAAAACGTTATCTCTTACGAAAACGCAGCACTAAAGAAATTTAAAACAAACCTTCATACACCAATCATAACAATAGTGATTGAGCTAAAATAGGCTAACTGCGTTGAAAACAGTCTCTTTTGAATTTTAGTTTCTTTACAAGGGTCTTAACTGATGGGCTTTTTTATTTTGATTTGTGGTAACGTCTAACATTCAGCCGCACAATGTACAAAAGGAAAACCCTTAGCCAACTAAAATATATATGATGGTTTTTGATCGTTTATTAGTGAGCCTTTGAGTTTAAAGTTAAGCAGGGGATAAGAAGTAAATGGACTGGCAGTAAGTTCACTAATTCACAAGCGAAATCTTAGCATATGATCTCTCATTGTTCTACCATTTGATTATGGATTAGGTCTGCAAAACTTTTATTTCTGAAGGCATTTACGAAGCTCACCGTTATTCAAATTCGTTATTCAGGCTTGAAGTGGTATTTTTGGTCTCAAGTGTTCATCGAATCTTGTTTTATTTGGTAAAGTTCAACAATAGTAATAACTCTTATGAGATCTAAACACTCATGTAACTCATAATCAAAGTTGTTTCACATCTATGAATATGATTTTGACATGAATTTGTTAGTTTCTTCTCAAATCCTTTTCATTTAGTTTGTTACTTCACCAGGAAATGCAATGTGAGTTCACTATATGGCTCTAGTATTTAAACCATAACTAATAAAAGCCTCCTCAGGATAACGTTCGGTTCCTGATTTTCGAAATCCGTCATGAGAATAAAACCATCTACACCTGACTGAACATCCGTATACAAGTCTTGTGTAAACTGAGTCATTGTTTTGAGTTTCGTCTTGTTTCCGTAAGTTGTAGTTTATGTTTTACTCTAAAAGATGTAATAGTATTGTGGTCCGCGATACTTATATTGCTATAAGTAGTATATGACGCGAGTCAGAAATGTAATGTCTGGCAGCAGAAGATGGGGAAGATCAAGAAAGGAGGAATGGGAATCGAAAGCAAATAGTATGGAAATGCAAGAACATTGAAATCCGGGACAATTATTGAACATTTTGCAAATTAAGTATTACGATATGGTTTTTCTATTTTACGAAGTAACTCTACAATTTTGTGCTGAATATGGTTCGATTGTCCTCGCCTGTGTTCTCATCCACTACAGTATGATAATATTAACCTTCTCAGAGAAATGTCTGTCGCTTGTTATGACTTCCTGTAGTCTATGTGATGAAGAACCTCTCCAATAATCGGAGTAGCTGTAAGTCATTAGTGGAAGTGGTACTGAAATATTTATGGTTACAAAGATTGCTACAAAACGTAATACGTATTCTTAGCGCTTCCACAAACTCCTTAATATAATTAATATATTGATGAAGTTACGGCCAAAATATGGTTAACACTTGCAAAAAGAAATTTTGGTAAACTTACCTTTCCTTAAATTCAGTCATAAGGAGTAAATTCGTGATCGTCAGTTCCAAACTTCTTAGCACATCGACTGAGACCATCATGATTGTAATTAATATGAATTTCTCTGGTAGAACTACTTATCACAGGGACTATGCTATCGTCCAGAATGACGGATCCACCTGGATCTAG